TGAGTAATTGATCAGAAACTTCCAAAGGTGTTGATGTGATCTCAGTTTTTCTTGTTATTTCCCCTCTATAATGCAGGAACTTGTGTATGGCCTGGGACCTGAAATCATGTATTAGCAACTTTTCTTTGAGATCATAAATTACAGGAAGGATTAAGATAGAATTTCCAGGAGAGGAGTATCTTGTCAGCTGAATTTGATCAACCCCATTTTGGTAAGCAGAAATTCTATTTGTATTTGTAGCAGGAGATAAAGAAAAAACCTGTTATTTAAGATGAAGTATAACAATGTGATCCTGAAATCTGGCAAGAGTTTGGATGTAAATCACATGTGTAAGGATGCAACCAATTTTCACCTTTGTAATGGCAACAAAAATTGCTTTGAATGACTCTTAAATACTTATTTAATATTTAGTATTCTAAAAACCATTACTTAAGTACTTTAAGCAGCTGGTTACCTGTGAATGGAGAATCTTTTCCTATTAAAATGTGGAGTATAAAAACTTATTTTAATTATTGGCTCCCATCTCCCTTGATGGAGATGGAAAAGTCTCCTAGTGCAGAGTCAGTGTGACATCTTGAATTGACAGCTGTAATGCTCCTTAACTTGTGTAATTGGCTAAATTAAAGTTTACCATGTGTCATGGAGAATATGTCAGGCACTGCAGAGCTTTGGATGTTCAGAAATCAGATTATATTGTACCTTAATGGAAATTTCAGAGTGTGAAAAGAGTTGAATTCAGATTTTTGGGCTTTTCTTAGCATCTACTTTTCAAATACTCCTGTTGGTTGATTTATATGATGTTAATAATTAATGGGGAGAATGTTGTTCAGTGCTGGTAGTAAAACAGCCCTACAGATGTAACTTTTGTACTGTATTTCTAGCAGGGATAGAAATAATGATTTTTCCATCAATAACTTTGTGAGTGCAACTGAATGAGATTAAAGTTCTTGGGAATTTATGGTGTATTGGGGAATTTATGGTTCTGTCTGTCACAGAAGAAGAAAAGGCACTTGCACATGTGGAATTGTCTTGGAAAATTCAGCAGTGAGTTGTTCTCAACTTGGAGAAAATACATTCATTGTTTCTGTTCATTCCAATAGCATATGTCCTTGTGCTTTGACTACAAGCTTTTGAGAATTCTGCAGCATAAAATTGAGTGAAAAAGAAGTGAAAGAAAGATTAGAAAAAGTGTGGAAGAGGCCCTGAGCTTTGGGGTTACGCCTGTGTTCTGCAGAAATGGGAAGCACAGGACTCTGGGGCATATTTAAATGACCATTACTCAAGTTGTCTTTAATTTTAGTTTTGACCTTTGAACATTTTTTTTTGCTTGTAGCACAAAACGAATTTTTCATCTTTTAAAGGGTATGCCCAGCAGATTTTTATACTTTGCAGTTCATCTCATCTGTAAGCTTGGCCATTGTAGCTGGAGTACAGGCCCTTCAGTTTTAAAGCACAGAATTATCTTAAATCTGCTCAGGCATCAACCTTCTGGTGAGTTCTTGAATGAAAACCTTCCACCTTTCAGGATTGTCCTATGTGTTGATCTTGGAGCTCACTTCCCATCCCACCCCACTTTGCAGAATTTTGTAGTCAGGCTTCAGGGTTGACACAGATCAGTTTGAACCTTAACTTCTTTACTTTGTCACTAAATTTCACCATCTGAATAAATGTCATTTGGCTTTGCTGATGAGTGGACCCTGAGGGGTGACTGAAGGACTCGTGAGTGCTCTGGCAGTGTTTGGTGATTTTTTTTAGGGAAGATTTTCTAGATTGTTAAGGCAGTGTGAGCTTGCAGCCCTACTGGAAATGTTTGGGGGATGATACTCAGCCTTGTACTGTGACCAGCAATTCAAAGAAATAACTTTTATGTGGAATTGGACCCATTGAGCTATTTTTAGCAATCTGTCTTGAATGGGCACATTAGTGTTTTCTGGTGTGTGGCATATCCCCAGGATGCAGAGTTGATATTTTTGTTTGGGTGTCTGAACAGGTTAATGATTACCTGTAAAATAAAATATTAATGAGAAGATTTGTTTTGCAAAGCTAGCAATACACTGAAGGGTTTTGCTTATGTGACTCTTAACTTGTAATTTAGATTTTTTATGCCATTTGAAGCATTGAATCTTGAAGGGTCTGTAATTCCTGAAGTCTGCTCAGTGTGACTCAATAGGCTGGTCCATAAATACAGCCTGGTTTTGGCTTTTTCCATGAGGTAGTTTCATTACCTTTTGATGAAGTGAAATCACAGAAATAATTATTCACAATATTGTTGTCATGCCTTGGATAAGGCCTAACTGCTAAAACACTCCCTTCACCCTTCATTCTCCAGCCAGAGTAAACTTTGAATAAATATCCCTGAATTCATTTTGTGATTCACTGTGCATCCCCTGTGCAAGGCAGAGCCTCCCTTGCTGTGCCAAGGGTTAGTTACATCAGAGCTCAATTTACTAAAGCTGCTGATTTAAAACCAAAATCCCCCAACTCGGGTTAGACTGGAATCTCATTCTTTGCACTCTTTATATCACACTTAGTTTGCTCAAAACCAAGATGAGGAAAATTCCCGAAAGGATGTGAAATTTAATTAGCAAATGTTGGTTAAGCACTTCAAGATGGCACAAAAATGACTCTAAATGCAGAAATGTCAGCTTGTTTTGGATAGCTGAAGGAAAGCTGAGTTTCCCCATGAGACTGGTCCTTTGTCCCTGAAGGTAAGAGTTGGAGACAGGATATTCCAGCAAGGGGAGCAGGTGCCTGCCCTGGGACAGCTGCTCTCAGGTCTGTGTGGCCACACAGTGAAGGCTTTGGGGAACTGCCCTGCTAAAAATAGTCCCAGTTTTTAACCTGCTGTGTTTTTCCAAGTGAGAACTGCTTCGCTCAGGCAGCGCCTTCAAAGTGCTGCAAGAATCCAGTCTTACTTCTGATTCAGGCTTTGACTATTTCCTGGGGAGTCTTTGATAGATTTTTTAACCTTTCTGTGACTCATTTTCCCACATGTCTGCTGAAGATAGTTTGTACTTCTGCTTCTGAAGCATTTTGAGTTCTGGAGATCAGGCTGAAATTACGCCGTGATTGTTGCCATTAAAATATTCAGTTCCAAATTATTTCCAACTTACTCTAAATTCCCTGCATATGGTGAATGGAAGTGTGAACAGCAGCTTTTAAGGGAATTCTGAATAGGATCTGTTCAGTAGTTTGAGCTGGCCAAAGACAGAAATATCATCATACCTTTAGAAATAAACATTGTTAAATCATTTCCTTGCCCAAGAAGCTCAAATTAACACAAGGCCAAGCATCTCTTCACTGTTCCTGAGTCCATTGCTCTTGTCATTGCTTTTTCTCCCCTGGGTATCTTCCCTTAGCTGCTTCTTTTTTGATTCTTTGCTCCTATGTGTGCTGTAATTTTTATTTTTTTGAATATTATCCATCTGATGCTACTGGGTTTCCTGTTTTGCTGTAGAGTCTGGGAGTGTCAGTGAAATGGGACATTATAGCACAATTTCTGGCTTCTGAACTGCAAAATAAGAAATATTTCTTTCTGCCCCTTCTAATTGTCAATATTTGACGAGACAGACAGACGGACAGACGAGACAGAATTTGCCAGCCTGGTTGGCAGCTGTGTGAAAGTATTCATGACCCAACTTTATCTTTGTGAGACATGAGGCAGAATTCCAGAGTCTGTAACAGCTCTTTTAAACCTTTATATATTTAACCTCTGAAATTTGCAGAATAATATGAAAAGGTACAAAAATACTTGTCTGAAAAATAGAATCTTGCTGTCATTGAGCAGGGTTGGAAGCTGGTTTCTGGTGTTGTAATTTATCAGGGGTGCTGAAAATGAAGATGAGCAGCCTCTGTTGTGGCAGGGGAGAGGAAAGAGCAGTGCAAGGATCAGAGAGGCAGAGAGAGTTAATAAATAGTGAGGAACTTTCCAGGAGGATTCTGGTTGGCTTTGGGTAGAGCAAGAGGAGGTTTGTCATGACTCATGAAAGGATACAGCAGGGAGGAAAGCCCCGATGGGGTTGTTTACAGTCTGCACACACAGTTACAGTTTTATGCAAAAGGATGGCTGTATTTAAACATAATCTGGATGTATGGAAATTGGAGAGGTTACAGCAGGAAGCTGGCACTGCCCTCCCTGCCCAGGAACTGGATTGATGAAGAATAATCTGTGTCTGCTGCAAATGTGTGAGCAGATGCTGAAGGGAGAGAGGCAGATGCTTTTGGCTGACAGGTCAGAGGTTGCCTGCAGAGAAATAGGAGTTGAAGTCAAGCACCTCCATCTCCAGCTGCAGCCAGGGAGAAATGAGCAGAATATCAGTGGTAATTCTACTGGCAAAATTGGGGAAAATTCCCTCCCCTCCCAGCAGAGAGGATAAACAAGCTCATGCTGTAGGAGCCTGGGAGATGAGGGGTCAGATCAGGAGAGTGTGCAGGCATGTGGATGTGTCTGGCAGGAAAAGGAGGCTTAGAGGGAGGGAATGTTGTACTTCAGTGTCATTTTACGTGGTTGTACTCCAGGGTTGATTTTATCTTGAAAGAAATGAGATCCCATGCAGGATCCCCATCCTTCAGCTCCCTCCCCACCTTGTAATTGCCAATATGTGACCACATGTTTTCCTCTGCTGTTACCCCCTTATCTCTGCTGCTGCTTTGCCAGTTCCCTCAGGGAGGAGGAGGAATGGTCCCCCACCTCTGATAACTGCATGTTTTCTTTTTCTCCTCTCTGTGGTTCTCACCTCTCATATTTACCATGATTGTAATCTCTAATGCTCCTTGATGCCTTCCTCTGCTGGCAGCTTTCATTTATTCCCCTTTTAAAAAATTCCACCATGAACATGATGACACTTGCAGTTTTCAACAAGAAAGTCATCAGAATCAATGTTGTCCTATTTATTATGTAAAACTTGTAGTTATCAGGGGGTTTAGGTTGATATTTTTGGATGGATGCAGGATGCTCATTCTTGTACTCCATGCCCTCTCTCTCATCTTTCCATGTCCAGTGCAGAATCTGGAGAGATGCTCAGGCCCTCTCACTGCAGTTGCTTGTGAAAGATTTCAAGATGACCCCAACCTAACTCTGTGTCCACTGAAGTTGCTGTGGATGGAGAAATGGCTTTTACAGCATCATAGAAAGTGAGCATGGCTTGAACTTTCAGCACCTGGGTTAATGATCAACTTGGGGGTTGACTGAATATTGTGGGAATAAGGAGCAGATGTGACTGGATAGAGAGAAACTGGGAAGGACCTTGAATCCTGCAGTGGTTGACCTATATTTGTGTGTGAGCTTTTTCCTGATCCCCTCTGCATCCCCAGATTGTTCAGCTCTCTGCACATGAAACTGCTGAGGGAGCACAGGTTGGGGCTTCAGCAACTCATCAAACTGAGATTTGTATTTCCATAACCTTAAAGTGTTTGAGCATCTTTACACCATGGAGCCAGTTCATTATTGATGAATGAATAATGCCCCAGCCTGTGACTGGAGGAGTTATCCCATCAGCAAACATTGGATGGAGCTGGCAGCTCTGTGCCAGAGCTTTCATTCCTGTGAAAGTCCATGCAAGAAAGGCAAACCAGAGGTTTTATTTTGGCTCTGGTTTAGGGGTGCTGTGGGGTGCTCGGGGACAGCTCTCTGCTCTCACATGTGCAGCTGAACCTGCTGCCTTTGTGACTCTGTGCCTTGATTAAATGGAAATCAAATGACTCAGAGCCATTAGAGCATCACATAGCAGGTAAAGCTGTGCTCCAATGAATGCAGTGTGAATGATGAGGTATAATAAATGTTAATGGTGCAGCATTCTGTTACAGCTTGTCACTTGGCTATGAATTATAGGTACTATAATAGATGTATAGCTACTATAAATAGGTGTATAGCCACCATAGTGTACTATAAAGCACACTACTAGTGATGTAGTATTGCTTTGAAAGAGTAACTGTTGTCTTTTTCTTTGATTTTTCATAGCTGAAAATCAGGTTTAAGAGGTAAATGTAAATTTGTCTCATTATTTTGGTAGTCCAACATGTAAAGCTTTGATTGATGGAGAGTTAAGGAGGAAAAATCCCCTGACCAGAACAGAAATGATAAAATATTACAGATATACTTTAAGATCTGTTTGTATAGCTTGCTCTTTGCTGAGCTGGTTTTGCCTATTGGCTGATAATGGAGAATGCAGTTTATAGGTGATGTCTGTGAAATGCTGTGGATTAATGTGCTGTGAAATGCAGCCATTGAGGCAGAGATCAACAGTTTATTTGAAGGTCTGATGTATCTGCTGGCTCTGGGCAACAGGTTGAGAATGTGCTCCACATCTGATAGAATTCTGGATTTAATACACAGGCTCCTGGAATTGCATCTTTTGAACTATCAGAGAAAAATATTTTCTGTTTAAAATATATTTATGTCCCACTTTTTTGCTTAGAGCCATAATTTACCCACTCAAAACACTGATGGGGAAGCAGGACTGAATCAGTTTATTTGGATTTTCAGCAGCTGGAGCTATAGCCAGACTCAGGCATGGTCAGACTTTGCTAGGGAACTTGTCTGGATTGCTGCAGTATTTAAAATCTTTCCCCAATCAGTGTTTGCTCTCCATCTGCAGCTGGAGAATGCAGCAGAGGCAGAGTAGCCATTGATTGTCAACTAAGCAGGATTGTTTTCAGGCTTTGTAGTAATATTCAGTTTTTGGCATCCTGTAGGAGCCAAACTATGCTGGCATTTGAAGCAGAGCTGGTTCTCTGCTTTGTGAGTGCCTTTTTTCCTGACTGCTTGAGTTAAGCTGCTGTTGGATGGTTGGTGATGGCATTCAGGGCCTGACTAAAGCACTGGGATTTAGTGGACTGAAGGTGACACTGAGTGCAGCCCTAAGACCACCTGGATCTGAAAGTCACCAACACTTCATGGAACCCAAAAACTTTGCAGAAGAAACAAAAGTGAACTTCATGTTGTACTAAGGAAATTTACTGTAAATGCAGAATCCAGCTATAGACTTATAAGCTCTTTAAAATTTATTTAAAGTGACCTACTTTTCTTATCAAATTCGAAGTCAACTGCTAAAAGGATGTATTCCGACAATATAATCCTCAAATCTTTGTGTAGACAATGCTGACACGTCTCATTTTGAGCCCATTTAAGACCCGTTAACATGTTTCAGACTGGAGTAACCTATTAAATAAATACATCAGGAAAAAGCTTTTACTGGTAATGGTTGTTTTGCTTAGGTGACTATGGCTGTAATGTATTGTGAGTACATCTGGTACTTCAGTGCTTATCAGCGATCTTTTTCCCTTTAGGCGGTTTCCTAGAAACATGATTGCTTGCTGGTCTTGATCTCGCAGCTTTGTGGAGACTCCTTCCCTGATAATGTCAAGTTCAGGCTACCCTCCGAACCAAGGAGCTTTCAGCACGGAGCAGAGCCGGTACCCGCCCCACTCTGTGCAGTACACCTTCCCCAGCAGCCGCCACCAGCAGGTAAGGACACCGAGCTGGGCTGCAGCCAGCCTGCTCTCCAAGGGCTTGCCCTGCCTAAAAGGGATTCATTCTGCTTTTTAAACCGAGATAACACAACTCCTTCACATCTGAAAACACATCCATGGGCCCTGTTGGGAGAGCTGCTCTGTTAAACACTGGTGGGGTGGCTTCTGCTGTTTTACTCTGCTCTCCTTGCCCTTTATTAATAGAAACATCCTGGTTTTATCATTGCTTTCTCATGGTTAACCCTTGAATAAATTCATCAAGAGTTGTGTTCCTAAACTTCTGTTGCAGTATTGGACAATATAGAGAATCTCTGTAAGTTGTGCGGTACTTGTCAAAATTCTGTGCAAGGTGGAGAATGTGTAAAAATTTGTGTTACGCTGATTTTTTTTTCTGAAGCAGCTGTACCAGTGCTACCAGCTGAGTTCTGCTGGCCAGAATGGGAGTAAAGGATTTCTAAGGATATCCTACTTGCTCATTTCTGCCAAGCTTTTATTCTGCCATCCTGTGCTCTGTGCTGTGCAGGACCAGCTGTTGGCTTTACAACAGTTCAGGTTTCCCTCATTTTCATGACATTCTCCTCCTGCTGCAGATACTTTGGATGATACTTTCTTCCCCTTCCATGTTATCAAAAAGAAATTCAAAAACTGAAGCTTTTTGGTTTGCTCTGTGTTTATTTTTAGATAATTTATGAAAACTGCATCTCATGGGTAATGATCTATTACATGTCTTGTAGAGCTTCTCTTCAGTCAGTGCCAGCTGCATATAATTCTTAAAAGCAAGTAGTTGATCACACAAAAATACAAATAAATAATCTTGTTCTTCACTTTGCTTGTAAATTGTAGCAATTGGAAGATGCATCTTGTGTGATTCTTAGTCCTGATTAATAATGTCTGATATAAAATTGTCTTGAGGTGGTAACAAAAGAAGTTGCCTTGAGGTTGCTCTCATTTTACCACTTTGCAGTTGGATGTGCAAGACTGATTTTAAAGGATGTTTTTGAAAGGCTATTCATCTGCTTGCTGCTGACTCATCCGTGTTTTGTTAGAAGTTGCTAATAAATGAGGTGGAATTCCCAGTATAAATATTTAGTCTCTTTAAAGTTTATTTAAACCTCAGAACTGCCATTCGCAAACATTTTTTGAGCCGGAATAAGACTTTCTCAATCTGGAGTCACTCTGTATTCAATATCTTTGGAAATGACCATGGTCAGTGGATGCCTTTGTTCCTGCTAACACCAGAGGTGTTCCCCTCAGGAATTTGCCGTTCCCGACTATCGCTCCTCTCACCTGGAGGTCAGCCAGGCCACGCAGCTCCTGCAGCAGCAGCAGCAGCAGCAGCAGCTCCGGCGCCGGCCCTCGCTGCTCTCTGAGTTCCACCCGGGCTCTGACAGGTGAGGAGGCTGATCTGGAGGGGTGGGAGCTCCAGTCTCATCCCTGCAGCTGCTCTGGGGTTACCTGAGGGCACAGAGTGGGCAGCAGCAGGGAATCAGATGCTGGAGTTTACTTTCACTTTGCCAATATCTTCCTTCCCAGTGAAACGGGTCAGTGCATGGGGGATGCTGAGGGATGATCAATGTGCATCATCATTGCTGTACTGCTGTGCTACTTCATACTTCATTGTCTGAAGGTTTTCAATGTCAAGCATTCATTTGAGGAGCACTGAATATTCTCTGACCATCAAATTCAGAGATTAAAATCCCACTGCAGATCAGAATAATATTAACTGGATTGTTGTAAATTAGCAGGAACATGCTTCTCTTTAGGGAAGAGATTAAAATATGTTTTATGCCCTCAATTCTTTAGTGTGTTAGGCTGCTGTTGTACAGTCATAAGTAAGTGTTAGGGCCTGTAACAGCCTCTTCTTTTCTTGCACTTACTGCTTGTACAAACCTTCTTTTGCCTTGGACTCTTAGTGAGTATATCTGCTAGGAGCAACTTTATATGCAGGATTACTGCTGGAGGTTTATTTTGGCTGTAACTGACCGATCTGCTTCTGAACAAATACCCATGATGAATGTTATGTAAATACTGGTCTGGCTTAAAATCTCATTAGGATATTCCCAGAAATAACTTGATGATAGTGAAATCTGGGGCTCCCATATTGCCTTCATCTCGTGTCAGCAAAATGTCAGTAAGGCTCTGTTTTAGTGCTGAGAATCACAGCAGCTTTTAGAGTTCTCAAAATTGGGTTTATAGCAGTAGTAAATCACACCCCCCCCAGACTGTAAATTTGTAAAAGCTTATTTGGTAGTTCTGGCAAACTGCAGGAAACTGCTGCTGTCATCTCTTCAGTGGCACTTCATAGGAAGACGTTGAAGCATATGAGAGTCTTTTATGGGCATCCTGTGCACTGCTCTGGGAGCACCAAGTGATAACTGTTGGGCATTTTTCTGAGAAGGAGGAGTCTTCAAATGACTCATGGATTGAATCAATGACTGCTTCTGTCACAGAGCAGCATTTTAGTAGAGATCAAGTTCCAAACAGACTCATGGCTCATCTCAAGTGTTCTGTATATTTAAAAATTATTTGGCTGCAAAAATTCAATAATGGAGCTGTTGTGGTGATCTTCAGTGAAATATAGTACTGTGTTTTTCTCATGGATTTTTGGTGGGTTTATACTTTGAATCAGATCTTTGATTTGAACAATATCCTTGTAGCAGAGCTGAGTTTCTTTAAGGTTGTTTAATTATAGGAGTGCCTTCAATTTGAGATTCAAGTTCACTTCCTATTTTCCAATGAATTTTAACTGTTGTATTTTTGAAGTCATATTTAAAAACATTTATCTGCTTTACTGTTTAGAGGGAGCTTCACCAAATGACATCTCCTTTAAAATTAAAAAGCATTGAAGATTCTTCTCATATCAAAAATGTATATTTTAACAGTTAATCTCTCCTGTTTAGGCCTCAGGAAAGGAGAACTGGATATGAACAGCAGTTCCATCCAGGTCCATCTCAGACTGATCATGATTCTCTGGAGTCCAAGCGACCACGTCTTGAGCAAGTGTCTGATTCCCATTTCCAGCGTGTCAGTGCAGCCACTGTCTTGCCTTTAGTGCATCCTCTGCAGGAAGGGTTGAGGTCTGCAGATATTAAGAAGGTAAAGCCATTTGCTGTCACAGTGCTGAAGGTCTAACTTTCTGTGTTGCTAATCAGACTTCTTCTGTTAGGTAATTTTTTTGTTTGTTTAGGTTTTTTCTTTAATCCCAAAAATTTACACATTATCAGAAGCTGTGATCATGAGTCAGTGTTACTCTTACACAATCTGACTCAAACACAGTAAATAGACTGGAATTCTGAGTTGCCACTACTCTCTTAAGTCACTCAAACCTCAGTTGTAAAATGATTGTAGCATAGTGCATGAAATATTTCTGCTTTTCAGCTGAAAGCTGCTGGCAAATCCATGCAAGTCCATTTTTTCCTGTAATTAACATTGGGACTGAATAGTCAAAGTACTTCCTTCCACCCCCTTTTCCCTTCTAAGCATTTGAAATGAATCTGCTTATTTACATAACACTAATTATACTTGTGACTGTCTCATTTGACTGGCTAAATCTAGGACAATTTAGTTTGGGGTGGATATTTTCTATTTTAGATATTGAATATTAGAGCTAAATTCAAGAAAACTTCACATTTATAACCATGACTAACTCCAGATGGGCTTTATCAGGCTGGTCATTATTATCTTCAAGAATATCCTCCTCAGTATAGGTGCAGAGTATTGAGGAGTGGCTCTCAAGTAACCCTCCTTTAAAAATCAAAGTTACTACTAAAATTTATGGAGATATATTTTAAAAGGAAGGTGTTTGGGTCTTATTTTGCTTTCAAGGTAAATATTGCAGTATGGTGTTTTAAAAAAATACCCTAACTTTGAAATTACAGTATCATAAAAGATTTAGAGCATTATGAAAACTTTAATTGATCTCTCAACAGAGATATAGATAATTGGAAATTGTTGTTAATTCCTGAGTGTTTGGTTACTGGGCACTCATTTCCAAGTTCTGACTGATTTCCTTTATCTCCCCCCCATCTCCTGTCCCCATGGAAGGACCCAGCTTTTGGAGGAAAGCATGAGGGACCATCTTCTCCAATTTCTGGTCAGCCTTGTGGGGAGGACCAAAATGCTTCGCCTTCCAAGCTGTCAAAGGAAGAATTGATCCAGAGCATGGACCGCGTAGATCGCGAAATCGCCAAAGTGGAGCAGCAGATCCTGAAACTGAAGAAAAAGCAAGTAAGCACAGCAGGCACTGCTCTTGTTTTCTGCCAGTGAGAGGTGTGGAAAAACCTCATTTGGTGATGGGGAATTTTTTGGTTACATGAATCAGATGAAGAAGTTGAAAAGGAAGGGTTATATGTGTGATTTTGTTTTAAATAAGTTGGATGTCACACAGTTCTAAACATTTTTGAAAGCAGGAGAAAGCCACGTAGGAAGAGCAGCAGTAGATGGGTTTATATTTGAAACTGCTGTGAAACAAGGGCACTGTGACTGTAATTTCAGCTTCAGAGCTGCCTGCTGGCTGAGATGAGGATCATCTTTCTTCTTTTGCAGTCTGTGCAAGGGGAGAATCCCTTGCATGCATCTCCAAAACCAGAGCTTGTACAAAAGCCCCTGGATCATCTGCTTCCCTAAGGGCAAGAGATCCTCACATCTGGAGCTAAGGCCAGCCTTGGGGGAAAGTGCAGTAGGAGTGGTGCAAACAAACACAGAGAGCAGAGAAATAGAAAAGGAAATATCACTTTGTTTTTGCATGGCCCTGGCCATGCTTTGCATCAGAGATCTGCACTTCAGCCACTGGAAGCAAAGGAAGTGTTTGCTGGCAGAAGTTGTTGCTTTCCCAGGAGCTGTTGTGGCCAAGTAAACCCACCCTTCAATCGAGGCATCTGTTAGTCATTGACAAAAACAAAGTCCTTGTTTCCTTTTCCTTTTCTGACTTTCAAAGATCCAGATAGAAAAAGTGCCAGCTTTACTCTTCTTGTTGGAACTCTGGAGGAAATGAGAGTTACTTTGTAGGATTTGTTAACTTGTAGGTCCAGGATAACAAACAGACAATTTATGGTCTGGAAGTGTTTAATTATGTCTGAATTTTAATGAGCTGTAAAGTGACCTCCAGCAGAAAATAAAAAAGGATGTCACTGAGTACCTGTTTGTGTGGTAATAATTCTTATCTCTCTGTGCACTTTTCCACAAAATCAGCAAGTGCTGTGCCACTCATCTCTGAAGGGTCATTTGTGCACATTTGTCTGTGATTTGACTTAAAAAAACTACAAAGTTGATGTTGAAATAACTGAGCCCAAGTCTTGGGGCATTCTGCTAAAATTTTAGGGAATTCTTGCCCAGCAATGTAGCACATTCTAGCCAGGACTGTAAAGCAGGATGGATCCCTGGTGTCAGAAGTTCTTTGCTGTGTATTTGGCAGGCACAGGTGAAGGATATTTTAAAAATTAAGATGTCACTGAACCAGATTTATTTGATGTAAAAGTAAATCACAGCAGTAGATTTAGTAGGAAAGGTAGTAGTTAGCTAAGAAAGGAGTACAGGGTGGGTTTTTTGCTTTTGGTTTTATTCTTTGCTTGCTTGGTATTGTAACAGTCCTGGAACTTTAATGCATGTGGAGTGGTTTATTTTTGCTGTGAAGTACCTTTAGAATGATGTTCTCTGTGGTGTGTTAGAAGGACTTTTGTACCTTTTGAAGGCATAAGACAGCAGTTATGGTGACACTTGAACATCTACAGTGCAGGAAGGCAGCTCTGTGGTTTATTTCCACTGTGAGAAGGCGGCTCTGATGTAACTGTTCTCCAAAGTTGATACTTTTGTTTACAGTTAAATAATGATAAATTACAAAGTGACAGTGGCTTTAACTGTCAAGCTGAAACAAGTCTGATTCAAGGCAGGTGAGTCTTGTAAACAGGTAATTTTGAGTTACCAATAGTACAAAAAATAGTCTTATTATTGTCCCTGAGGGCATTTAAACCATTTCATTCATTCCTTGTCAGTGCAAAACCAAACAAGATGCAGTGCTGACTGATCAGCTGCGTATTTTATCTCTGGTGACTAATTACTGGTGGGGGGAACATGGATGGCTGATTTTCTTTCTTTGGTCTCTTAGCAACAGCTTGAAGAGGAAGCTGCGAAGCCCCCAGAGCCGGAGCGGCCGCTGTCCCCTCCGCCCGTGGAGCAGAAGCACCGCAGCATCGTCCAGATCATTTACGATGAGAACCGGGTGAGTCCCTGCCCCTCAGCCAGGCCCTCCCTCTGCCCCTGAGCTCACATTCATTAGGTGTTCATGTACTTCCATGGAGCAAATCTATCTGTTTTACTGATTTACCCACCCCTCTTTTGCTATTTGTTAGCTTCTTTAAATGAAAGACATTTTAATGACATTTTTATTCTCGAGCACGGGAATCTTCCTTTGATCTTCCTTGGGTCTCATCCTTGTGCTGAGATGCATGAATTATCTATCCTCTTATATATCCACACATATATATTCTCTTAAGTGTGTGATATGAAAAATGCCTCAGAAATTCATCTTGAATTCCTCACATGAGCTGACAAACTTGGCTGAAGACTCTACTTTTAAAAGAGCTGAAGAGAAAAAACTGCATATGTTGTAGGATTTTGTGCCTTCTTTATAAACTCTGACTTCTGGCATTTCATATCTGTTCATTTATCCAAATCCTAAGTAGTAATATGTGGGTGAATTAGGAGCTTGTGTTGTTTAAGTGGTGAGAAAAGTTCAGGAGCTCAGTAATATTGCCAACAGTAACAGCAAAAATGCTTCCTGCCTTTTTTTCTCATGGTAGTTTGAGATTAGGGAGTCAGATATCTGGGGGTTTTGAAAGTATTGTGATCTTCTGTGAGAGTGCTATATGTTTGTTTAATTTCCCAATTTTGTTCTGTAGTTTAGAGGAACAGCTAACTTCTATTACAATAGATTGGGGGGTTTTTTTAGGAATTAAAAACCCCCTGCAAAACAATGCTAGATTTTGTACAGTACAACTGTGTCCCAAGCATTCAAGCATGAAAGGAGGGGTCAGAATTATTTTGTGGTTTTCACTTGGTTTGAATAAGGGACCTTTGACACACTTTGTGTGTTTATGTACTCATGGATTCACACTCCCTGATTTGGCAATTGGAACATTTTAGTCTCTTAATTCCATTTTTCAAAACTAATTATACTTTATTTTACTGGACACCTTTCTTCCTTTTTATAATTATTTTCTGTATTATGAAATGCATGATTTTTTTGAACTGCAGAGGTCAGTTTCTGCTTTTATGCTCTATCAGCTTCCAGCCTGGGAGATCAGAGTCACTACTAAACAATTCAGGTACAGGTTTCTTTATTTGCTGAGGCAACATTACAGAAGTAGGTTAAGAAGGATCTTGTGTGTTCAGGCAGGGGTTTAGCAGAGAACATAGAGTTCAGATCCACATTTGACATGAACTTCAGAGGATTTACTCAGACTATACCAAAAAAATCTTATTTGCAGAAAAAAGCAGAAGAAGCTCACAAGATTTTTGAAGGTCTTGGTCCAAAAGTTGAATTGGTAAGTTGTGGAATTCGGTTTTTTCCTTTTGTACTATTTTCTGTTTTGCCAGTTGCTCTAATTCTGTTGTGCTGAGCAGCTGTGGTTCTGTATGTATAGAAGAAATGTGTGTCTGAATGCATTGGTGGATTGGGGCTTGAGTGAGTTCATTTGCCATGTAAGTGTGATGTTTAAAGTAGATTTTAATCTGTTTGAGAGAACAGTTTGAAGTATGAAGAAATGGAGTACTATTATATAGAGAAGTATTTATAATCCAATTTTAAGTAATGAAATTTGTGCTTTCTGCTGAATATCTTGTAGTCCCTTCAGCTCTGCTGCATCTCAGATTGAGTGCACTGTTCTCAGAATACTAAAATATTGTTAAATGTGGTGCATACACATTTACAGTTCCATGCGTTGCCAAGTGCTAAGTGCTCCTTTCTCATCCCAATTTGCAGCCACTTTACAACCAACCCTCAGACACCAAGGTCTACCATGAAAACATCAAAACGTGAGTGCTTTAATTCCTTCTCATTGTCCCACTCAGGGGATCTGGACTTGAACATGCCCTGACATTTTTCATTGCTATAGGATGTGTGAGTTTAAACCATAATTAAAAGCTTCCAGTCCATGTAACTTTCTGATTTCTTTGTTGTAAAACAGTTCTGCAAGGTGTGCATTGTATGTGCAGAAGGCAGAGGGAAGCTCTGGCTTTCCATCTTCATTTAAAGACAAAAATAAATAATAAACATTAAGTTGGCTGTCCTTTAAAAACTTCTCTTAATAAAAGTAATTCTTGCTCCACTTTATCAAATAGATTTGTATAGCACTTCCAAAGTACTTGTTTCTTGAATAATATATTGGAAAATTTAACTTTAGGGCTGAATTGCAAAGGCTTTTTCCCCCATAAAAGCAAAATAGCTTAAACCAATTTTTTTTCATTTTAACATATTATCTCTCCTGTGGTTAAGGAGAGCACCTGCCTTGAATTTGGAACCTTTTGTGTCTCAATTGCTTATTCCAGCCATCTTCAAGAATCTCCTCTCTGAAATAATACAGTATTAGGTGATTTTGGTATTTCAACTTCATTGAAAATTTTTCCTATTTTTTACCCTGAAACTGTTATTCATAATAAAGATGTGACATCTGGAATTGAGATGGGTTTTGTTGAGTAGTTTTGAAATGCTTGATTCTTATGTAGTTCACTTTTTTCCCCTAATTTTGTTCTCCAGAAACCAGGTGATGAGGAAAAAGCTGATCCTGTTCTTTAAAAGAAGGAACCATGCAAGAAAACAACGGGTAAGAGCACCATGGTTTTCTAAAAGGAGCATGTGGCTGGTTTTCTGTCTGGAACCTTGTTTTACATTTGCAAATATATTAATTAGAAAAATAAGACCTTGAGCTAAAACAAGTGTGGGATATTTCTGGAAGGCAGTAATGACAATTACTAAATACCACTAGGATATGTAAAGCTAAGAAATAGTGTATAATATTAAAAATCTCCATTTTTGTATCCACTTCCTCACCTTCTTTGTGCTGGAAATTTGGTGTAAGTCACCTTCAACATGGCAGGGACTGGAGCAGGAAAAATCTGTGCATTCCAGGAGCCTGCCCATGAGACAGGTACTGATCACTTGGTGTATTTTGCTTAGTTCAAGGTTTGCTTTTGGAATTTAACAGGAACAGAAAATCTGTCAACGTTATGATCAGCTGATGGAGGCATGGGAGAAGAAAGTGGACAGGATAGAAAATAATCCACGCAGGAAAGCCAAGGAGAGCAAAACACGGGAGTACTATGAGAAACAATTCCCAGAAATCAGGAAGCAGAGAGAACAGCAAGAAAGATTCCAAAGGTATTCCTGGAGATTTGAAATATTCCTGCAAAATATCTCTTCAGCCTTAAGTTTTACAATTATTTATAATAAAATTAGTTAATTTTAATGGTTAAGTTTTATGTTCATGACCTTATTGCTTTGTGTCACGGAGTATAAAGTGAAATGTTCTTCCCTTTGTTCACTGTGTTTCCATGGCATTGAGCTCAAGTTTCCCTTCCCATCCTAAGGATCTCCATGACTTTATCTGTCCACTGTCACAAATGTCCCCTTTGCTGTCCCTCCCCTGCAGTGCCAGCCTCATCCCTTGGTGTCTCTCAGGCTGTGGTGGTGGCCACAGGGCTCCTTTCCCATGTCCCTTTTCAGATCTGCTGTCAAACCCCATATTTTCCAAAAGGAGCACAGGAAAATGGCCAATTAGCAGAGGCTGCTTAGGTTGTGGTGTCAGTGAGGTGAGGAGAGTTAAGCTGCTCAAAAAGAGTTTTGTGGAGTTCTGAAGGCAGCTGGAGCATCAGCTTCCCATGAGCCTGCTCATTTTGGGCACACACCCCAATTTACACTGGTATTTTTCTATCACTGTCTGTGGTACTCCTCTGTTTCATAATCCCTGTATTCATTAGCCTCCACACTTAAAAACCATTTATCTTCTTAATTAACAGTTTGACTGATCTTTTATTGTACTTGCCAGGTAATTTTATTCCAGACAGTTTTGCATTTTAAAATATTCAAGGTGCGACAATTAAGGACCTATTATTTAATTTTAATCTATCAGACATTTGTAAGATGGAAACTACAAGGAATCTTAAAAGGAATGAAATGCACTTCACTTGAGAGTTCACCTTGCAGTGCTGTAGGTAGAGAGATAGGATTTAAATTAGAATTAGGTCAAGTTTGATTCAGTTGTGTTGAAATCTGTTTATCTGATGTTCGAAATAATTTCAATACACCTTGGAGAGTCCAAGCCCCATAAAGATTTAATCTCATCTCTTGTAACCATCTGTCTACATCACCCTTTTGTCATAAAACATGGGGAAAGCAGAGAGTTGGCAATACACTGTGAAGGCTGCAAGATTTTTTGGAATCAAGAAAAGAAGAAAGTAAACTGTTAGAATGGGAACAGCACTCATACATAAGAAGTTTCACTTCAAGAATATTTTATGTCTTGGTCATTGTAAACTATTTGGGGAGGGGTCATCTCTTTACATTATATTTACAGTCTGTAAAATAATGGCCTCTCTGTCTATAGCTGTGCTCTAAACCATGTAAAAATGAAGGTTTTTATCCTCAGATTTTGTGCAAATGGATCAATTCAGTAAAATCTTGGAGGTATTTTGTCTCTCCATTTAGTAGTGATTTTTACCTCTGAAATGCTTTTTGACACACATGCTATAGTATATATTTTTAGTTCCTAAGGGTAAAGATCACGAGGTGAAAAGTTCTTCCAAATTGCAGCTCTCTCCATCAATTCACAAGTGGAAAATTTTGTTTTGTTGTAACAAATCTCAGTACTGTATTAGTACCTTGACCAAATTGATAAAATTTAGTGTGGTTTTCTTAAAAAAAACCAAAAAAGGCTCTTTCAAGGTGCATCAGTTGTGCTAATTAAGGGGATATTTCTGTGCCACTGATGAACATTTCTCATGCTCAGCAGAAGCAAATTCATTTATCTGCAGCACCTACTTTGCAGTGGAATTGGTGGTAACACTTTTTTTGTGCCCTTTCTGCTGAGCTTTGCAAACTCCACTGTAAAGCCAAGCAGGACATGACAGAGTTTGTGCTCTGACTCTCCTTAAGAAAGACCAGCCCTAGGTGATTTGGGAGACTGCTAACAGCATTATAAAGCATTTTGAAGGTTGTTGTGGTGTACAAAAGCTGCAGATAGAGCTGATTTCCGCTTAATCCTTTTTCCTTCTGTTTTTTCCTCATTTCAGAGTTGGCCAAAGAGGGGCTGGCCTTTCAGCAACCATTGCCAGAAGTGAGCACGAGATTTCAGAAATCATCGATGGGCTCTCTGAGCAGGAGGTGAGCCTGGTGCCTGTGCTTTGCTGTAGAAGCACAGCCAGGAAATCTCCTTTCACTGGCAGTGCAAGGTGTCTTGTAGAGAGTTTGTTTCATTGAGAAGAGAAAGCTCTTCTCTCTTTAAGAGAATCTGTGTGAAGTGTGGCTTGAAGCAGATCTTACAAACACTTTTCTTTTGAGGGTTTTGCTTTCTAATTGTATCTGCCCTAGATTTTTCTCATGTGGCTGTTCATTGCAGGCTTGCTGCAACCTAGTTTTTTACAGCTGTAACAAACATGTGAAGACTCTTCCTCTTCTCAAACCCTCCATCAATTTGGTGTTTCACCAGTTGTGACACTATTTCCTTTAGCTGCCCATAAGCGTTCATTGCGATAGTGACAACTTCTTCAAGAGTGGTGTACAAAAAAAACTTCCAAGCTGCCTGTGAATGTGTAATTCAAGAACTGTAATCATCAGTAGCAGCATTTTGGGTGTTCTTTACTTTGTCTTTTGTTCTGCAGAATAATGAGAAGCAAATGCGGCAGCTCTCTGTCATCCCTCCCATGATGTTCGATGCAGAGCAGAGAAGGGTGAAGTTCATCAACATGAACGGGCTCATGGAGGATCCCATGAAGGTTTATAAGGACAGGCAGTTCATGAATGTCTGGACAGACCATGAGAAGGAGATTTTTAAGGAAAAGTAATGGCCTTTCTTATCTGTTCCTTTTATTGCATTGAAATGACAGAGTAACATTAAAATGCCCAACCCCATAAAGCTAAATCAGGAATGCTGAAGCCTTTGTGCAATAATATTTGAAAATGTTCTTAATTGGCTGTCATGAGCATTGCAAGAGTTTTAGACTATTTTTCATCTGGGTGTGCTCACATGCATTTAGTCCTTTAATACAGAATTTTCTCAAAAGTACTTTAGTTCTGTGCTAAGATTTAAATGAAAAATGTAGATAAGGAATTTCATTTTATCATTTTAAGTGCTGAGTTCTAAATTTGCACAATCTGAAAACTGGGCTTTTTAGGCTAATTTCATTTGTGTAAATGAAGGGCTTGCTGATGGAACAGAGTGTTTGCTAGATTGTTTTGCTTGTTGGATCATGGATTGTGTTGTTAAACTGAAATAATTTCTGATTTGTTAAAGGTTTGTCCAACATCCCAAGAACTTTGGTCTAATTGCTTCCTACTTGGAACGAAAGGTAAGACATTTTTTGATATAAACATAACTTAGGATGAGATCCCTAACTTTCCAATATAATAATAAATTATTATTATAATAGATATATATAATATATAGAAACTTTTCTACTTTAGTCTGGGGGCTGAATAGTTTTAAGTGTTTGAAGAAATGAAAAACTCAAATCTTTTCATTAGGAGTAAACCCTACTTTCTCCTGCTTTTTTCACTTTAGAATGTTCCTGACTGTGTATTATATTATTATTTGACCAAGAAAAATGAAAATTATAAAGCCCTTGTGCGAAGGAATTATGGCAAACGCAGAGGAAGAAACCAGGTACATTGAATTTATTCATCACTTGAGTGTTGTTATTTTATTGCTTCATATTTACAACTGTTTCATTATCTGAGATAGCAACATATTTTAACCATTGAGGGGAAATAATTATTTTTCCTTTATTGTATTGTTGCCCTTTTAAAATTTAAGTGATCCTGACGTCAAGGGTGTTGTTGATTAGTTTGGTTTTAATTCTCTGAAATATCTTCTTCCTTTGCACATTTCTTACTTGGTTTAATATGACATTTCATTTTCTTTGAGGAGTCTGCCACAGATATTGAGGTTGAATCCATCCCTAAATCCTGTGTTGGAGCCAAGAGAAATTAGGTTTAGCATGTGACATGCAGTGGAAAATATATAATCAGTTCATAATGTCAGTGTTTGTCAAAAAGCAGAAATTAATAGTGGTCTTTATTTGGTGGTCAGGCTTAAAGTCAAAGTGGAACTTCAGAGCCAGAAGAGACCAATTTAATGCATGTGAATAAAAAATCCTGCTGATTCAGGAAGTGTTCCTTTGGAAGTCTTCAGAGAGAAAAAGAACAGCATTTTATGTACCAAAAGCTTATAAATACATGTGCTGGGCTAGCAGGGTTAATGTGGGTATTGAGAAACCTGAAAAAAATACTCCTGAAACTCTGGGACTGCACAAATCTGCTCTGCAAGCCAGTAAATATTGCACTGAAATACACAAAGAACGTTCTCTAGGAGTCCCAGTAAAAGGATATTTTTAATATGAAATTGTTGCAAACAGCTTCAGCTGAGGAATGGATCCTGTTCAGTAGAAATGACCATGGGCTTGTGCTTCTGTGGTGCTGTTGTCCTTAAACCTTTGGAATGATGGGCTGGTGTTCTGCCAGGGGAGTCCTGTCATGGCAGAGCACCTTGGCTGTACCCACAAATGATGGATTGCTTAGGATAAGGGCATTGTCATTGTGCACAGGATTTCACAGAGCTTCTGCTCTGATGGGGGAAATCACTGGAAATAACTTCAGTTCTGCCAGGACTTCTGTTAGAATTTCTAAGTCTGATAATCCTTTTTAATAGCAAGGGTTATTGCTGTTGGAGTAGTGGCTGGGGAAGGATTGCAATTAAAGTCTGGGTGTGTGGCAAATGAAAAGAAGATGGAAATCAATGTGGACAGTCACTGTGTAGAGGTAGTGCTGCCATTTGGAGTGGCTCAGCTCCCTGTGCCACTGTAAGATGAGGTTGGTGTGGCCATGGAAGTGTCACATGTTGAGGGTGCCTTTGCTGGGTGCTGTTCTGAGGGGTGAGGAGACAGAACTGGCTCAGCCTAGTGCAGTGGAACTGGAGATTCTGAGATATTTAGAAAGTCATTACTATATATTTAAATGTCTTTTCCACATTGTTCAACTTCAGAATATTGGAAATGTTAGAATTCAAAATTTGGATGGAATTTTCTATCCATAAATGCTTGCTTACCTTGGATAATGTATATAGAACAGAAAGATTTTAATTCCAGCTTTAGACACAAGGGCATGGATTTGCTTGGTGAGCTCAGCTCAAGGTGCTCTGCCTGATTTTGTGACTGCTCCTGTGAGTGCTGATTTATATGTGAGTAACTGAATACATCAGCTGGAGCACTGAAGGTTTGTTCAGCTCAGATTACTTGCTCTTGGAATTGAAGCAGAGTTGTACTCTGTAATTGCTGGTTGTTGATCCACTCTAAGTGCTGCAGCAGATCCCTAAACTTTGGGCAAGGCTGGCCAGGCTTCATGTGTGCTCTGGGAAGGATGCAAGGAAGTGCCAGGATTTTAGCTCTGGAGAGGGTTGAACTGGACTTGCCAACTCAGGGAAATACTCTCAGCACTCTGAAAGGGAAATTTTACCACTTCTGGAAGTTTGAATTCAGAAGTATTGCAGTTAGCATGTTAATAGTAAAGAACTACATGGTGCAAAAAAAAAAATTGTATTTATAATTTTATTAATGATTAATTAGCAACATCTATAACAGCTAGTAAAAAAGGACTTGAGAGGGTTGAACTGCCTGGCTTGCCAGAACTTTTATCTTCCAGTTGCAGAAAGCAGCTCACCCCTTCCCCCTCCCATGCCCCAGCTTTGTTTGAAGCTGATATTTTTCATATCTCTCAGTAGTAACTTGAAACTTTCTTGCTGATTGGCAAACACAAGTCATGTAAGATTTATGAGGTGCTCCAAGATGGGCTTAGGCCAATAACAGGTGCTTCAGCTTAAACTCTTAATAGTTCATATATTTTTGTAAATTAGAAGGCAAGCAAGTGGAATATTGCAGTGGAGGAGATATTAATCATGGTAAGGACGTTGAAGTCCTTCAGAGAATGCAGTGAGCACAGCTTGGCTCAGGTTTCAGTGTGGGGGGTTCCACATGACAGAAACTGAGTGCTGGATCAAGGATGTGAAGAGGTGCAAGGCTAATAAAATTCTGATGTGTGTTTGTCCTCAAACAGGTCTAGAAACGGCTTTTTATAAAATGCTGCCTGAACTGTTCCAGAGTGTCACAGAGGCAACTGAACAAATGTGTCTTAAACCAAAGCTTGTCAAATGTAGAGCAAGTTTTTAACATAGAATTGAGAGAAAGCCATGGCTGTATGGTGCTTTAAATTGCCTATCCCTGGAAATGTTCAGGACAGGGCTTGGAGCAGCCTGGTCTGGTGGGAGATGTCCCTGCCCATGGCAGGGGGTTTGGAATTGGATGATCTTTAAGGTCCCTTCAAACCCAAACCACCCTATGATTCTATGATTACAGAGAATTCCTTAAACAACTCATTAAAAGAAGGTTTCTTTAAGTGAAGTTTTAAGTGACTGTGGTGGCCCAGCAGCACTCAGTGCTGGCTGTGTCCCTGCAGGGTGTGTGGCTGGCAGCAGGTGGGAGGCAGTGATGTGAGCAGACAGAAATTCAGGGCTGTGTGTGACGGGGATCACCTCTGGTGACTCTGGGGAGATTAGAAGGTGCTGTGTGAGAGGGGCAGCACTGCTGCAGGAGCTTAAGTGGCAGAATGACACCATTTCCTGGAATAAACACGTTGCTGGGTCAGGCAGCCTCTGCTAAGGAGCTCTGGGATGGTGCTGCTGGGTGGGTTTTGCCCTTTTGAGCCGTGCCCTGAGCTCAAGCCCATCCCCTTGTGTGGACAGTAAAAGTTTCAATCAGCAGATGAATGTGCAGGAACGTCGCTGACCGAGGCTTCGACTCCTTCAAGGTTTGTGTTTATGCATTGATTATGCAGCTTAAATAAAGTTACTGGGTAACAGAGAACCAACCAAGTGATGTTAACTTGTCCTATTAAGAACAGGGTTGTCAACAGCTGTTTTCTAAATAGATTATATATAAAATAATTTTCTTTAATTTTTTTTTAACACAGTTTTAACTCCTTGTTTTCAGGTCAGTCTATCTAGCAAGGTGGAAATAATTTATCTTAGCATGTCTCTTACATCTTGCTTGAAGGAAGTCTTTGCATAATCGATAACCAGCACCTTAATTGCTAATAATTTGCAGCAAGATGATAGTGGTTAGTGTTTAGGGTTTCTGATCCAGTTCACATTGTAAAATGTCAAAACCAAGTCAGTTTGTGACTATTTCTAGCCTCAGTTTAGTTAGTGAAACAGTGACACCTGCTGCTACACTCATAGGGAGGTTGCTTCCTCTGTGAAAAAGAAAAGCCTATTTTGGGGAATTTTTTAGTAGAGTGTAAAATCTGAGTTCATGAAGTGCTAGAACAGCAATCTTGTAATTCTCTGTCCTTGTCTTGTCGTTCTCTGTCCTTGTGTTTCCATGAATTGCCAAATGTACTCTGGGTATCTGTTTGAGACAAGCACTGTGCTTGTAAAACTGTCATCTCAGCAGAGAAAAGAGTTTTTGTTGGTTCTTTTAATAATTCTTTCTGTAAACTCACTGGAAATGTAAGTCTAAAATTCTCAACCCAATTTTTTAGCAATTGTATTTCTTAAATATTAGTGACAGTTCTGACAAAGCCACTTGGAGTTGCTGATAACTTCCATGCTACAAGACCTTCTGCTCCCCAGTTGTAAGATCATGTTTCACTATAAAATGCACAAAGTTAAAAATAAAACTTGAGAGGAGCAACACCCTCACTACACGGGTCAAGCCTCCCTAAGCACTTTTAAAATTCAGCTGTTCATTTTTAGTGGGACACACAGCAGCCAGTGTGTGATTGTACACAACCACCTCCATGCTCATGCTGCAGAAACCTCCTGTACTTCCATGGAATTTACATGATGTAAAACAGAGTTATTCTGTTCTTATGCTGACCACTGTGCAGTGCCAGTAGCTTAAAATATTATCAGGTGGGAAGTAAGGCAGCATCACTTTTTGTGCTGCTCTGAGGACAAGATGCTGCACTTTTGTGTGATCAAATGTTCATCTAAATCCTATTTCATTTCAGCAACAGATTGCTCGTCCTTCTCAAGAGGAAAAGGTAGAAGAAAAAGTAGAAGAGGAAAAATCAGACAAATCAGAAAAAAAAGAGGAGGAAAAGAAAGATGAGGAGGAGAAGGATGAGAAGGAGGAATCTAAGTAAGTGTGTCTATGCTGAAATGCATGAATTCACCCTAGATTGCTGGTTTTGGCAAGGATCAGAACAGGATTTGCATCAGCCTGCCAGTGAAATATGATCTGAAAACTATTCCTTTTTTGTATGAAACAATTTGTTTTGGACATACAAATTTCTCTGTCTTGTTGAGCTAATCAGATCAGTGGAAAAAGTAATGGAGTTATTATTTTGTACATGTAATAATTTCAATATCTTGTTGATTTGGGCTTTTCTCATATGTTCTATCACACATGGAGTATTCATCTTTTCTTTGAAGTTGACAAAATCTGTGTCACTGTCTGGCAGCTGGAAGTTGTGGGCAATAAGTGAATTCTGTTTCACTAAAGGCATCCTTTGGGTTTGTGGAGTTTTGTTTGTGTCTGTTGATATTCAGGAATATCTGCTCACAATGGCTCTCTGAATGTGACTGAATTATATTTTACCTATTCCCAGAGAGAATACCAAAGAAAAGGACAAAACTGAAGCTGCACCAGAGGAAACAGAGGAGAGGGAGCAGGCAGCTCCTCGGGGCCGAAAAACCGCCAACAGCCAAGGGCGGCGTAAGGGCAGAATCACCAGGTCAATGACAAATGAGGCTGCACAGGCAAGTGCTGCTGCAGCTGCAGCCACTGAAGAGCCACCACCACCTCTGCCACCCCCACCAGAACCTTGTGAGTAGCATTTACAGCACTCCCAGCTGGTGTAGGCTCCTCACTGACACGGGCATGCAGTGCACTTCTGTTTTCCTGGTTAATATTCCAGCTTTATTCTTAGCCCTGCTTATAATTTTGTGACTGTGTGGAACTGCTAAACTTCACAAGTGTAACTTCATGAATAGGGCATGTGCAATCAGCTGACTGTTAGAATGATGTGAGGGGAGAAAAGGCAGTTCAGCCCTTGTGTGGTAACACCTTGTCTCCCTGGGCAGGTTCATGATGGGGCTGCAGAGATCCAGGTGACACAGATTCACTTACAGGCTGCAGCTCACTGAGGATGCTGTTAAATAATTGGCCTGATATTTGAGTACTTCAGGGAGTTTCATAAGCTGAAATAGATCTTGGCAAGTTGTTGTTTCTGCATTAGATGGCAAGAGGTTTTTTTAAAATGAAATGTTACTTTCTTGGCTGCTATGATTAAAAAAGACGACGCAGTCTCTGAGTGTATTTTGGAAAAGGCTGACCTACTTTGTGTTGATGCAGAAATACCAGACTATCTTGTGGCTGGTAAATAATTATCCAGGATGGCTGGGCAGGTTGTGGTTTTTTCTTGTGGTGCTCTGCAGTGGCAAAATTTGTTATTTCTCATGCTTCGGCTGGGTAGTTACAGACAGCTCCTATTCTAGAGCTTGTAACTACTCTTCTGTTACTCAGATGTTCTGCCTATAAAGAACAAAGTGAGCACATCAGGTCTTGTATAACTGTAAACAACAGAGATTGTGAGAAACATTCTTGCTCCATTGATACAGTGGGGTTTTGTAAGTCTGAAGCAATAGTGGGTTTTGCTTTTTTTTATTTTTAAACCATTTTTGCAGGGTTTTCTGAAAAACCTAAAATAGTTTTTCAGTGAATCAGATACTTTACAGTGTCCTATTTTTGTGGTTTGTTAATGGAAGCTGTTGCAGGGTCCTTGTTACATGCTGTGTGTAATGGCAGATTTGATAGAAAGGAAATGGAGGCTGGTGCAGCTCAGTGCTGTTCAGAAATTTAAACAGAATGACACAAAATCCAGAGGAGTGAATGAAAAGCGCTAAAAGCACTTTGTATTGAATCATACTCAGTTTCCTGCTTACTTTTACTGGGGTTTTTTGTTTTCTTTTCTTTTTGTCCATTTATCCAATTGGAGACTCAGTTAATACAGGAACAGTAGATTTCTTGACAGCCACTAACCAATAAATAACCATTCCAGCAGTGAGATGGCACTGAACTAGCTTAGAGTATGTTGGATTGCTGCTTTTAGTAGCTGATGGTAATTACTGACATTTTAAATAAAATTTCAATGATAAATGCATCTAAGTTACTTACAAATCTTCCTTGACAGAGAATTCATCCCAGTTTTGTAGGCAGAATAGTTTTGAAGAATTTTCTCTGCTGAGCTTTTGGTGGTTCCTTCTCTATCTCTGACTTGGTTTAATGGAGATTGACTGCTTCCCTCTGACAAGAGAGCTTTCCCCAGTGGCCTGAGCAAGCCATAATGTAAATAGATTTCTGGACTATGGGATGCATAATTGGTGCCATGATAATGAATCCTGGTCTTTTCTCTGCTCAGTGCCTTTGTTTCTCTTTCAGCTTCTACAGAGCCTGTGGAGACATCCCGCTGGACAGAAGAAGAAATGGAAGTTGCTAAGAAAGGTAAACCTTGTAAAGCCTTTGATTTCCTTCCGGATACTTGCATTTACAACATTTCAAGGATTCACTGAATCACTGAATATATTTGCTGTGACTTTTGCCAACATATGCTGATTTGAAAATTCCTGTTGGTTTTTTTGTAGAAAAAGAAAAAACAAGCAGCTTTAACAGACAAAATCATCTTATGTTGACTCTTTTCCTGTGGGTTACTTAGAACTGTTTAGACAGCAGTATTTCTCTATCTTGCCTTCCTGTAGGCATTGTTGTTCCATTTATTGAGGTTTGGATAGCTGAGTTATTGATTACAGTAAATATTAGTTCCTTTATGTCTGATCAGGTCTGGTGGAACACGGGCGAAACTGGGCAGCGATTGCCAAAATGGTTGGGACGAAAAGTGAAGCTCAGTGTAAGAACTTCTACTTCAACTACAAAAGGAGACACAACCTGGACAGTCTCCTCCAACAGCACAAACAGAAGGTGAGTGCTGTGGACATTGAGTTTTTTGCAGGGAAAAACTTGGATCTTTCTGAAGTCATTCATCACACTTCATTAAGGCTGTTTTGCAATCTCCACTCATTTCCTTTTCTACTTGTTTTTGTGTTGTGACATAAATCTCCTACAAAGGGTGGCCAAGGCTCACTGACCTGTGACAGTAACCACTTCTTGCTTTGAAATGCAAGAGAAGGTTTTGTACTAGGAAACACTTGAGCCTGAAGAGTTCTTCAGTGCTCTGGAAGCCACGTTCCTCACCAGTGCATGAGCAGCTGTAGATGTACAGCAGCTCCTTGAGACACAGCAGGCACTGACCTTATCAAACAGAGCAGGACAGGTGGCAGAAGTCCAGGAACTGAAGGTTTGGGGGCATTGAAAGTAGAATGTTGTGTGTTGGAATCCTCTAAGCTGCAGTGCTGCCTTGGTCTTCTCTCACTGAGGTGAAGAACATCAGGGTCTGTTTGCTGCAATTGTTTTGTTGTCCCCCAAACTTGCTGTGAGACCATGGTTGATTGCCAAACTTGGTTTTGGTCAGGAGCAGCAAAAGTTGGTCTGAAGTTGGAAAAGTGTCTCTTTGTGAATGACTGTGCTAAATAGAGATTCTCTGTCCTTCATTTCAACCTCAGATTGGTAAATGGGAATGTGTAAAAGGCAATAATTGTGAATTTTCAGCACATTGTCAATGCTGTGTCTTCCTCAGTCTTCGCGAAGGCCCCGAGAGGAGCGAGATGTGTCCCAGTGTGAGAGTGTGGCTTCCACTGTGTCAGCTCAGGAGGATGAAGACATTGAAGCATCTAATGAAGAAGAGAACCCAGAAGACAGTGAAGGTATCTTTTCTGGGGAGGAAACTGGTGTGTGCACAGAAAGGAGCCCATGCTTTGTGCTAATCATATGCTCAGAAAGCTGTGTTCCACTTCATGGTGTTGGTGTTGTTGTTCAAATGCTCTTTCAGTTGAGTTCCAGCGACTTGAACTCACTCAAGGGGATGCAGCATTTTTAGAATTTAGCAGCCTAAAGATGTTTACTGCTTAGCATTTTGAGATGCTTTGATTATGTTGTCATCTGGAGTGCTGAAACAAGTTGAATGAAATAAATGTAACCTTTGGTAGTCGGTAGTCTCAGTAAAGCTTCAGACAAGCAAATTCAAGTGGGTTATTTTTTTTGGTTGTGGTTTTTTTAATACATATTAGTTGGTTGCAACTGCTTATTTATAGACACTCAACATCAGTCAATCTTGGCTGGTCTTTTGTAGAGCAAAAGGCAATAGAATTCATAAACAATGAATGTGAGAAGATGACTAAGTGTTGGTTTTGAGTAGTTGGTATTTTTTAGTTGCAGTGTTTCTGTAGTTCAGCAAATTGTCCATTTCTATCATAAGTCAAAATTGTTGTTGCAGATGAATTGGTTAAAATTGATGGATCCTTACTGCACCCAATTTTTCAGATTTCATTGATTCAACCTTCCATGGCAAAACATTTTTTCCCCAGGTGCTGAAAATAGTTCTGATACAGAAAGTGCTCCATCTCCAACTCCAGCAGAACCTGCTAAACCAACTGAAGAAACTCCATCTGAGCCTGCTGCTCCAAAAGTAACCACTGAGGCCCCAGCAGAGCAGGAATCTGCCATTAAACCTGCAGCCAGCACATCTCCCTCCTTACCAGCCCAAAGTGTAACAACAACTGAAACTCAGAACCCCGAGCCCCAGGTCAAGGAAGAAATAAACCCTGAGGCTGAGGAGCCTATGGAGGTGGACAGTAGGAGCCATTCAGCTGAAGCTAAGCCTGTGATTACTCTTCCAGTTCATACCAAAGTAGAACCTGTAGAGACTGAAATGAGGCTACCAGAGAATATTCAAGTGAAAATAGAGAGTGATACCAAAGAGAGAGAGATGGAGAAACCCAAGGAAAAGTCAGAACCAGAGGAAATGGACTACAGCCTGTCCCAGCAAGTGACTGCAGCCAGACCAGAATCCCATTCAGATAATGACTCCAGTGCCACCTGCAGTGCTGATGAGGAAGTTGATGGAGAACCTGACAGGCAGGGGTGAGTAGGGCTTTGGATGGAGTCTCTGGAGCTATTTCTCTTTTGGGAGTGACTGACACCACTGAGGGTATTTGAAGTCCTTTCAGTGTTCTGTTGGTGCAGTTCCTGTGTCACCCCAGCGTGGCACTGGAGCCAGTGCCCCCCTCCCTCTCCATGGTTTAATATACACACAGTGCCAGGGATAGATGTTTAAATGTCAAAAGTATCCAGTGTCATGGAGTGCATGTGGGCTTTGGAAGAGTGCAGGTGATGGTGTTTGTGCACTCCCTTGCCTCTTCAAACATCATCTTTCCACAAATGTCTTAGCCCTCCATGAGAAATAATTTTGTTGTAGACTACTGTTAATTTTCTGTGGACTTAATACATGTAGTCCTTCCTGTCCTTGGTGTTTTTCCAAAGCACTCTCTACAAAGAAGGTTGCATTGATGTAAGTGCTGCACACATAAATTTCTGATGTGGGAGATTCTGAGCTCATATTTTGGTATTTCTGTGTATTATGAAAATGTAGCAGCATCTGTTGCCTCTTCCACCATATGTGCTGTGGTACAAAACACAACGTGGTTGTGACTTTTCAGCTCTTTGTCCACTTTGATAATTTTGTTGGTTTTTTGAATTTAAGAGTTGTGGCTGTACATTTTTAAAGATGTATAATCTTGCTTCTTTTGGTAATATTTCTCCCTTCTATCTCTTTTTCCAGTATCTTCAGCAGGGAGTCAAAGCCCTCACTGTTGAATCCCACTGGGTCAATCCTGGTATCATCCACAATAAAGCAAGGGCAGATGGACCTGCAACAGCTCCACCATCGAGCTGCTGTCATCCCACCTATGGTATGGGCACTTTTCATTGATGTTTGAAGGAGTGTTTGTTACCCCTATATCTAGTCAGGAAAAAAATTGTTAAACAAATGAAGAAAAATATTATTTGCTTTATTTATTGTATTGTTCATGGGGAAAGTAGGTTAAGTACAACCAAGTATCTTAAAACCAGGTGTGAACCTTTTGAAACACCCAGACTGCAGGGGGTAGCTGAGCTCCACAGCTCCTCCAGGAAGTGCCTCTGAGGGTGTCCCTGGCATTGTCCCCTTGCTGTCCCCAGGTTTCCTGCAGCCCCTGCTCTGTCCCTGTGGGCACCCCAGTCAGTGGTTATGCCCTGTACCAGAGGCACATCAAGGCCATGCACGAGTCAGCCCTGCTGGAGGAGCAGCGGCAGCGCCAGGAGCAGCTGGACATGGAATATCGGGGTGCTGTGAGCCCCTGTGGCACCTCCAAGAGCCCCAGTGTGGAGTGGGAAGGTTGGTGTTCCCTCAGCTGTGCTTTGTGTCTGTGTGTTACACTGCTGCTCATTGGAGAGTGGCAGTTTAGTGTGATAAGGAAATTATAATGAACTTGCTGGAAGGGACCTGCCCCCTCTGCTGCACTTACTGTTGAACAGCTGCCTTGTTGCCCCTTTATATTAAGGCAGAAAACTTGTTCCAGTTGGGTCAAACCCAAAAATGAGTTGTTCCTACAGAGAAAGATGGAGCATGGGGGTGTGAAGAGCAGATGATTCTGTTCTAAGGGAGCCCTTCCAGAAGCTTAAGGTGTAGGTGGGAGAGTGTACTCCATGCAGTAAAACATTCATCTTAACTGTGCTCATACATGAACACTGAGCACTGAAACAGGGCACAAAAGTTTGCTGGAACACAGTAATACTTCTTTTTAATTGCACTGTTTGTACCTGCTGGGTGTGTCTAACATTGGAGTAGTCCCTTCTTTAAAACTGTGCTGTGAATTGGACCTTTTGACTCCAGTTTCTAACCCAGGGTTCTTCTCTTTCTGATTTCTTCACCCCTCCCAGGAAAACCAGTGGCCTATATGCCTTATGCTGAGGTCAAGAGAATAGAACAGGAAGCACAAGTGCAAAATGCAGCCACAAGGTCAGCATCACCCTACAGGTTATCTCCAAGAGAAGTCAATAAAGCCTCTCCCCAGCCTGAGATGAATGCAGCTCGCTACAGTGTCCCTCCAGGTAAAGATTTGGAGCATCAAATTATTCTCTAAACACTTTGAGTTAGTAGAAGATAATTTTCTGTGTGTGCATGTGAATAGGTGCTCAGTGTTTTTCTAGCTCAGTGAGGCTGTACTGTGCTATTTCTGTTCACACTGCAGTGTTTAATGTACAATTTTTCCCCTCAAGTTCTCCAGCCAGCCCCTCACCAGGTGATAACCAATATTCCTGAAGGAGTTCGCCTGCCCACAACCAGACCCACCAGACCACCACCACCTCTCATTCCATCCTCCAAAACCAGTGTGCCATCAGAAAAACCTTCCTTCATCATGGGAGGCTCGATCTCACAAGTAAGAGAACTATTATTTGAAAATCTGTCTTGCTTCATTTTTTTTCCCCTTTCTCCAATCTTCAGCTTTTTGTACTCATTTATGGAATCACAGCATTAACCTTTAAGACCTACCTGTACATATAATTCTAAAAGTCCAAAGGAGCTTTAGAAATGAAACATTTACCCACATTTAATGGCATGGATATCCAGTTTAGGTGACCTGCATCTCCAGACTACCAGTGACACTCCACTCCTGCTGTTGTGTGCTCTACAGTGAGGCACTGTAGCATTTCCAGATAGGATCACAGTAGTTTCAGCATTCTCCTTTAAAGAGAGATGTGACTTCTCATTCCAAAAACAAGAATTAACATCTATTTGTTGTTTCAGGGAACACCTGGCACTTATTTAACATCCCACAGTCAAGCTTCCTACGCCCAAGAAACTGCAAAGCCATCAGTGGGTTCTATATCCCTTGGGCTGCCAAGGCAGCAAGAGTCAGCCAAATCTGGTAAGGAAAGAAAAGCTGACATGTTTTATACAGACTATTTAATGATCCATAATTAAAGAAAATTTAAAAACCTCAACCTTTTTCTTCTCCTCAATAGCTTCTCTGCCCTATATCAAGCAAGAAGAATTCTCACCCAGAAGCCAGAATTCCCAGCCTGAGGGACTCCTGGTCAGGGCACAGCATGAAAGTGTGGTGAGAGGTAAAGAAAGTCACACAGATTAAAAAACTCTTGTCAGAGCCTGAGAAAACCAAGAGAATTAACTGCTGAAGTGTTATTTTAAAGTATTCTATGATTATATAAGAATCATAAGATTACAGGGTTAATTTGTTCCCTGTTTTCCAAGGCATGTGTATTTGTAGCTGGCTCCTCCTGTCTGCATGGCTCACTTAAAAATATTTGTTATGAGCCATCCCAATTTCAAAATAAAGTTGCTCACTACAGCAAATCCATCAAAACAAAATAAATTAACTGCTGTAAGTTAATGCTATAAAATACTTCCAGTCTGTAAAAGGCTATGTTAAAAGAGGAAATAGCCTAACTGCCTCATATGCCAGCTGTTAAATTGAAATTTCCCCTGTATTTTAATGTAAACTAACAGCTCTCAATAGAATTTTTGATTATTTCAAATTGAGTGGATATTTTTTTTATTCTCTGATTTATCAGAATGTCTTTATTTCAAATCAGGTACCACAACAATACAGGAGGGGAGCATAACACGAGGAACTCCAACCAATAAAGTTTCAGTTGAGACCATTCCTTCTTTGAGAGGCTCCATAACTCAGGTATTTTACCTTTCACTGCTGGGAAGACTGTAGCAAAACAGATCATCTTCAGACTATCACTGTGAATGTATTTGCATGTCTGAAAAAGTAAATTATTAACACAGGATAAGAACTGCCTTGGGAAAAGAACTTTCAATCCAATCAGATGTTCAAACCCCACTACTGCTGAAGTCAGCATTACCATGATTTCATCTTCATATATATGAGTTTTCAAATAAATAATACCAGAGCCTTTGGTAAACCTAACTGAGGGCAACTTTCCTGAAAATTGCATCACACCTGAGTTCAAATATTCAAATCAAGTGTAACCAGTCTTGTGCAGATTGTACTTAAATCCAAGAAGGGAAATTCAGGCCTTTTGTTCCTACCATTTTAAATGCTGCTGTTTTGGTTGGTTTGGCATCCCTTTGTAACCAGTCTTGTGCAGATTCTATTTAAATCCAAGAAGGGAACATCAGGCCTTTTGTTCCTACCATTTTAAATGCTGCTGTTTTGGTTGGTTTGGCATCCCTTTGTACAGAGAACCATCTGTTTTGAGATGAGAGGAGGAGGTTTCATTGCTTTGGACAGAAATAAAACCTAATGGCACCATGAGGTATATGTTATCTTCCCCCAAATGGTATTTATAGGTTAAATGTTCTAGGTTGTAAATACACTGGTAATATTGTTTAACAAGATAACCTAAATATGAGTGAGATTATTTCTGCTAAGTGTCTATAATAGAGGCAGAAGTTTAAGCCATACTTGTTAAATTAGTTGGTATTATAGACCCATGAATTTTTTTTGGTTTTGTTGTATTTCCCCTTCACTCCCCCTGTTCCCTAAAGCCTCAGAGGCTGTGAATTGATTGCTGTGCTGGGTTTGCTCTCAGGGTACCCCAGCTCTGGCCCAGCCCGGCATCGCCGCCGACGCGCTGCTCAAGGGAACCATCACCCGCCTGGCCACCGAGGACAGCAGCCCCGAGAAGTGCAGGGAGGAGGCCTCAGCCAAGGGCCATGTCATTTATGAAGGCAAAAGTGGGCATATTCTATCTTATGATGGTGAGTCTTTGTGTATTCTACCTGATCAAAGTCAGGTTCTGCTTTGATAACCCACAGCTGAAGTGTTTCTGCTTCCAAGCAGATGGGTGTTTAAAATACAGTTCAGCTATTCCTTTGCCATTTATTTCCTATCTGTCAATAAATTGTATTGTGAAAGCGTAAATAACCAGGTTTTAAATTACCCCTATTAAAATAAAACTAAATGTATCACATAACTTTAAACTTCAATGAAATATTGATAAATGAGTAACTTAACAAGTACCTTTTTGACAAACTATAAAGTATCTTTCTAAGATTGATATTTAATGTTATAATATTATATTGAAGATGTGTTGTTTAAATATTAATGACCTGTGGTCTCATTAATGTAATATTCATGTGTCCTTTTTTGTTGTCCACATTTCCTGACCACACTCTTGTATATTTTGCCAGCTATTAAAAATGTCCGTGAAGGAACAAGGAGTCCCAGAACTGCTCATGAAATTGGTTTAAAGAGAACCTATGATACAATGGAAGGAAATATAAAGCAGGGGATGTCTCTGAGGGAGTCTCCAGGGTCTGCACCACTGGAAGGTAAAAAAAGCTGCTTGCAAGGTGTTTTATCTTTTATCCATTGATGCAAGAGCATTTAGAGTTTTCTTAGGGTGCAGACTAACAGGGAAGTTAAATTTAAATTACACTAATGACCAAATCCTTGCAATAACATTGCAGTTAGAGCACTGCAGTTGGAAGCAGGACTGGAGTAGATCCCAGTTTTCTGTTTTACCACAGCTGCTGCTACTGCAGGTGGCATTTCCAACTCTCAGCACATCTGACAGATGTCCCTGGCTCTGCACAATCCCAGTGGTCCTGGGGAGCTCAAACACTGGGTCACACCAGCACAGCCTCTGCCACACCCTTTAGTTAAATATTAATATCACACTGCCCTGACCTTTTGCATTCCTGCAAAAAACCTCTTTGAACTGCAGGATCCTGCTTCAGGGCATCCCTAGTGCTGTGGTGTTTTAATAAACTGTAATCAAACAAAGCCTGCAGAGGCCAAGGCAGGTCATTACATAACTTTGCTGATGTTTTGTAAAAATACAAACACAAGAAAATATTTCCTACCTCAGCCATGGAGCCTGGCTCCTTAAACATTTTGTCCCATTTTTTTGGATAGCCCTTGGAGACTATTTTGTGGACATGTCCATCCAATGGAACAAGGTGAATGTGAGGTTTGTAGGCTGCACACAGAAATTCAGTGTTGCCTCTAAGTTGCTGCTCTGATATTTCCAAACTTTGTCTCATCAGTGACACATTTTCTGTCTTTGAACTGTGAAAAATTTTGAGTGTTTTAAGCACTTTTAGATTCTTGCTGTAGGCACAGTAAATTCATCTCTTCCCCAATGATTCAGTATGAACTTTGATAATTTGGAGCATGCTGAGACATATTTTGAAATTTTTTTCTCTTGGTTCCACTTCCCACCATGAACACCTTTCTTTCTAGGCAAGGAAAGTGGAGTGTGAGAAAAGCAGTGACTGCTTTTGAAACAAAGGTTAAGCTTAATTATAAAAAAACACCTCCTGTTTTCTAAATATGTTAAAACTTGCAACTATGCAATAGCACAAATACTTGAACTGAAAGATTATTTTTTTAGGGCAGGAGGTGTTTATAACATGTTGCTGCAATGCCTGGCATACTGAGGCCTGGCCCTCTGGGCACTGCCAGGGTACAGATATCATCTCTCATGTGTGAGAAGGAGGGGGTTTCTTGGTTTGGAGGTTGAATTTTTTTTAACACTTGTTTAATTCCCTAAATTGTTTTCATTTTAATTTTAGGTTTAATCTGCCGAGCACTGCCTCGGGGTAGCCCACACGCTGAACTAAAGGAGAGAACAGTTTTGTCTGGCTCTATAATGCAAGGTGAGATATTGCAGGCTAAGAAAGGGGAGCATTAATTAATCCTCAAAAACCTGTATTTCTGAACCTTAAAGCTCTTATTAACTGTGGGAGCTGTGTTAAATGTGGAGCTTATTTTATGAAAAGTTTTCAGAGCATAAATCAGCAGCTTTTTGATATGCTGTGTTCAAAGCTAGTGTGTAAACATAGATTTTATTTCTTATTGGAAAATAGAGTTTTTAATATGAATACTTGGTAATCAGCACTTTTGAAGAAATGATCACATTTATTTCTTTTGTTTCAGCACCTGAAATAACAGGAGGTTTTCTGTAGTATATTTTTCAGTATTATTTTTGTGATGATTTTTTTAGACTTTGAGTATCTTACCACAGACTACAGCAAACCAAAACTTCACTGTTATATATAATGAATTACTCTGCTTATGAAGAGAAAGACTTAGCAGCTATTATTACCATTCACGTGACCCTTTCTTTCTATAAAAGGCACACCAAGGGCAACAGCTGAAAGTTTTGAAGAAGGTTTGAAGTACCCCAAGCAGATCAAGAGGGAGTCACCTCCCATCAGGACGTTTGAAGGAGCCATCACCAAGGGCAAGCCCTACGATGGGGTCACCACCATAAAGGAGATGGGTCGCTCCATCCACGAGATCCCCAGGCAGGACCTCCTAAGCCAAGAGAGCCGCAAGACTCCTGAAATGGTGCAGACAAGCAGGCCAATCATAGAAGGCTCCATATCTCAGGTAAATGCAGAAAGCACTGTTACACTCACACAGGAGTCAATCAGCTCAGGCTGTGCGAGTTTTTTCCACTACATGGCCTTAACCTGAACTTTTCCTCCTCTTCAGGGCACACCCATAAAATATGAAAGCAACTCTGGCCAGTCTGCCATCAAACACAATGTAAAATCTTTAATCACTGGACCAAGCAAGCTGCCCCGGGGAATGCCTCAGCTGGAAATGGTGCCAGAAAACGTGAAGGTGGTGGAGCGAGGAAAATACGAAGATGTGAAGACCGGGGATGCCGTGCGGTCCCGTCACACGTCCGTAGTCAGCTCTGGTCCCTCTGTTCTCAGGTCAACCCTTCATGAAACTCCCAAATCACAGCTGAGCCCTGGGATTTATGATGATACAAATGCTCGGAGGACACCTGTGAACTATCAGAGTCCCATGTCCAGGAGTTCACCCATGATGAATAGAGTTAGTGAGGGTATGTCATTCCTGTCCACAGTAAGACAAATGGTTTTATTATTGGAATTTTTTATGTACTCCATTCTTCTTTATTTTATTCTAGTGGCTTTATTCTAGTCTCAATTTGGAAGTTGGCTAGAATGAATTTTAGAAAGCTGTAAGCTGTTAATTGAAATAAGGAAATGAAAATCTGCCATAATAGAAGAGGGAAGTGGGAATGCAATTCAGTCTCAATTTGCATTTGATTATGGATCACACTGAAAGTTGTATCTATAAGGATAATGTTTTAAGGGCAGAAGCTATTCCTGATTTTAAAATGTCTAGATGAGGAAGGTGTTTTAGTGAAGTGTAAACAATCTTAGTTTTAAAGTACAGGTCTTTCAGCAGAAGTGTTTTGTGATATAAAATATTCTCTGTGCTCTGTTGTATTGCAGTAATTGAAAATGTTCCTTGGGAACTAGTGTATTTTTACAGTTAAATTTTCAATAGAGAAATAAGCATTTTATTAACTTGGATTTTTCATTGCTTTTAGCTGGAGTATCTTCTGGGAAGTCAACAAATCATGAAAGGAAGAACACACTCACTCCAACACAGAGGGAGAGTGTGCCAGCAAAATCTCCAGTGCCAGGGGTTGATCCTGTAGTGGCTCACAGTCCTTTTGACCCTCACCACAGAGGAGCAACTCCTGAAGTCTACAGGGGTCACCTCCCTCCCCATTTAGATCCTGCTATGCCATTTCACAGGGCTCTGGATCCTGGTAAATACATTTGTGTTGGCTTTTTTTAGTTTTAAAAATACTGTGAGCTCTGATATACAGAAAGGATACCTTTATAAGGCAGTTATCAATGGCCAAATATAATTTATAAAGATGTAAGTATTTACTGCTATGATTTTATATCAGTTTAGTGGTGATTTAATATCTAACCAAGATACTTAAATTAGTATTTTATAATGTTGTAAATTCCCTTCAGAGCTGCCTGAAATTTGCTTCTGTTTGGTTAAAAAGTTCACAGTATTTATAGAAAAGCATTCATGGAATGTGTTAAAAGCCTTCAGGAAAGTTTTACAAAGAAGGATGTGGAAGAGGCTAGAGAATTAAAGTGTAATTCTATATAATTATATATAGACTTATATAAGTCCTCTGTTCAAGACTGATTATTTTCACTGAAAGATAATCAGGTGATATTAAATACAGTGACTTCCTTTTAACCTATCCCTCAGGTAACTTCTCTGAGGTATTTTCTAATTCTTTGGGTATTTCAGCCTTTTACATTTTCAGAATTTCAGGATTTATAGTTCTGTTAAAGTCATCTGTCCAATCTGGATTGTTTAGCACTTTCAGTGTGCATCTAGTTCAGAAATTCAATAAAACACCAGTATTAAAATGCTATTTTCACTCATTTACCACCAACTAGAGAGACTTGATAGCACCTCTTATTGAAGCTTTACAAACACCTTGTGGTGGTGTTCACAGGGGTCCCAGGACAAGGGAAGAGATGAGAATCTTGGCTCCATGTTTCAGAAGGCTGATTTATTATTTTATTATATATATTATATTAAAAGAAAATTATATATTAAAACTATGCTAAAATAATAGAAGAAAGGATTTCATCAGAAGGCCAGCAAGGATAGAAAAGGAATGATAATAAAATCTTGTGACTGACCAAAGAGTCCAAGACAGCTGGACTTTTATTGGCCATTAATTAAAAACAACCCCATGAGACCAATCACAGATCCACCTGTCGCATTCCACAGCAGCAGATAATTATTGTTTACATTTCCTTTCTGAGGCCTCTCAGCTTCTCAGGAGAAAAGATCCTAATGAAAGGATTTTTCATAAAATATGTCCATGACAACAGCTGAATGTTTCATTTAATCCACAATCATCCTGCTTCCTAAATGCCTCTTTTTCCCTGCTGTCACCCTCAGCTGCTGCTGCTTACCTGTTCCAAAGGCAGCTGTCCCCCACGCCGGGGTACCCCAGCCAGTACCAGCTGTACGCCATGGAGAACACGCGGCAGACCATCCTCAACGACTACATCACCTCCCAGCAGATGCAGGTCAACCTCCGGCCCGATGTCACCAGGGGCTTGTCCCCCAGGGAGCAAACTCTGGCACTCCCTTATGCAGGAGCACGAGGTGGGCTTGGCTCTCTTTCTGTAATCCTCTCGAAAGGGTGTTTTGGCTGTGCCAGCTGTGGTTTGGATGCACTCATGTAAGGCCGGGTGTATAAATGTGTTTGTGATCATGGATGTCTCACAGCTCATTTGGAAACTGCCTTTTGTGGAAAGGAAAAGCACCTCTATAATCAATATTTTTAAGGAGAAGTCTCTGAGAGTTGCTGGTGTTCAAGAGGCAGGTTGTTTTCTGCTTGTTTAAATTGGTGATCAGAACCATATTTAGCTCACCATCAAACTTCAGAAAAGAGAGTTATATCAAAATGATATCTTCTTCAAAAAGAATATAAAAGCAAGAGCCAGAAGTGTAATGTTTGTGATAACAATGCTGATTGTTTTATTTTTTGGGTAATACCCAAAATTGCTAAAAGATGAGATTATTGAGTCGAAGTGAAGTGCATTTTCCCAAAGGGCAATTAAAGGGAGGGCTACAAATGCAAATTCTGACTTTGTATGTTCCTAAATTGCTGATTGACGGATTTAAGAGAGGATAACCAGATGAAATATAGCTCCACACTTGCCTTAGTCTTGTATTTTCTCCACCAAACATTCATTGCTGACTGTGTAGACCATGTCCTGGAGTGGCCATTCTCACGTGTGTCATGTCCTGACAGGAATCATTGACCTGAACAATATGGCCCCCACTATCTTAGTGCCTCATCCTGGAGGAACCAGCACCCCACCCATGGAGAGAATCACATACATCCCTGGCACCCAGCTTACCTTCCCTCCCAGGCCTTACAACCCTGCTTCTCTGTCACCAGGTAAGAGCTCTCATGGCTTGGTGATGGCTTTCATTGTCTGACATGCTGAGAGGATTGACCATCTTTATTCAGCTTTCATTAATGTCTTCTTTTGATGTTTTCTCAGGAGATGCTTTTTGCATGCACCTCTCACTTGGATAGCAAAGGGGTTTTGATGATATCCTGTGTAGTTACAGTAGAAGCACTGTCAAATTCTGAATTTGCCTCATTCTGTCAGGTCTTTATTTGTAGTAATTTGATTATAATTCACTAACCCCACTTTACATGTGTTGAAGGGTAGAATTGGGGTCTAGAAGCTGTAACTTTATAGAACCACTTTAGTAAAAGGCTTTTGAGCCTTCCACTGTCACTGTGTGTTAAGCTTTTGTCTTCCTAGATAAGTGAATAGTCTTTAGTGGAATTAAAATGTATTTGGGAAATTTTGCTGGAAGTGTATGGCAAAATATATAGGCAAGTGTTTACATTGCATGCTTCACTTAAGTAAATTTCTTTGCCCCTTCATTTTACCTTATGGACCTTCCAGGACACCCCACACACCTGGCAGCTTCTGCAGCTGCAAATGCTGAAAGGGAACGGGAAAGGGAGAGGGAGAAGGAGCGGGAAAGGGAGAGGGAACGTGAACGAGAGCGGGAACGAGAACGGGAACGAGAGAGGGAGAGAATCACCTCAGTCCCTGCTGAACTTTATCTCCGACCAGGTGAGGGCACATGGACACACTTGGATCACTTGTCTTGTACACTGTAACTGCTCATTTTCTGCAGTCACTGATAGCAAATACCATTTACAGTTTGCTTTTACTCTGCACTTTAGGCAGGTTGCTGTTGCCCAGCAGTTCTGGTCATAATTGCAGCTTCTGCAACTTTCTCTCAAAGCAATGTAGCACCCAAAGAGGAGTGAATCCTCATTGTCACTAGCACAGCTTGCATGTCATTTAGAGCACTGTGAACAGATTTAAATCTCATCCAGAGTGGTGGAGACAGCTGGGAAGGGATGTGGAGGAGGCAGCATTGATACATAGTCCTGCATTGTTATAAGAGTATCCAGAGTGGTGGAGACAACTGGGAGGGGATGTGGGAGCAGTGATGCACAGTGCTACACTGTTGTAAGAGTAATCCTTTATTTTGGTTTGTTCCCCTCCACTCTGTCCTGCAGGTGCAGAGCAGCCTGGCAGACCCGGCAGCCATGGATACGTCCGGTCCCCATCCCCCTCTGTCAGAAGCCAGGAAAACATTCTGCAGCAAAGGCCAAGTATATTCCAAGGAACCAATGGGACAAGTGTAATCACACCTTTGGATCCTGCTGCTCAGCTACGTATCATGTATGTGTTAGAAGTTAATGTGGTACAGATATCTGTTCCAATATTTCAGCTTATTAAAAAGTGGGTTTAGGGTTAAGGATATTTCACTATATGAAGTGTAGTGGATTCTTGGATATATCAGAGCATTTTCATCAGTGCACTTTGGGTAGAAAGTAGCATCAGAAAAGCTTTGCTTTATTGTGTTCATGGCTCTAGTTCTTTCCATGTGATGTAATTGAGGCTGTTCAATGTTTGCCCACAGGCAGCTCACCCCTGGAGCTCCCTCTATCACCCAAGGCTTGCCAGCTTCCCGTTACAACACTGCTGCTGATGCCCTGGCAGCCCTTGTGGATGCTGCAGCCTCTGCTCCTCAGATGGAAGTTGCCAAAGCAAAGGAGAGCAAGCACGAAGGAACCAGGATAGAAGAGAACATGGGCCGCAGGTCAGCTGTGGTGACTGACCAACAGCAGATGGAGCAGAAGACCTTGGAGGTAGAAAAGAGGCCTGTGCAGTGCCCCTATACATCTGCCAATTACTCTAGTGGCAAGTCCCAGGGACAGACCTCATCAGTAGTCTATTCAGAGGCTGGTAAAGAGAAAGGACCTCCTCCTAAATCCAGGTACGAGGAAGAGCTGAGAACTCGAGGAAAGACCACAATTACTGCTGCTAACTTCATAGATGTGATCATCACTCGCCAGATTGCTTCAGACAAGGATGCTCGAGATAGGGGCTCTCAAAGTTCAGATTCTTCCAGTAGTTGTACGTATCTTAGTCACTCTCTACTTCTTTGCTGTCTGTCTTAGCCTTTAGGGAAATGATGTGAAATGATTCAGATGTTTAATGATAAAATATTCAGCTCTGCAAAGCAGAAACACTTGATAGACAAATACAGTTTTTGCCTGTAGTTACTCTTGCAAAATCGGAGCTGTTTGCTTTATTCAGATTCCATGCTACAGCAGGAATGCAGGATCATAAGAGTAACATTTTCAGAATTCAGGAAACTGAAAATTACTTTGTTTATGTTGGAACACTGTTTCATGGAAGTATTTGATCACCATGGTTATCATGAGAAGGCAACAGTGTTTTGACTTTCATTCACTGGTGCCATTTTACTGGTGTTGCTAAGTATAGGCAACAAAATTTTTCTGTCATATTTACATCTTATTCCACAACCTTTGCTTGATATTCAGTGTCCTCACACCGGTATGAAGCTCCTGGAGATGCCATTGAGGTGATCAGCCCTGCAAATTCACCTGTACCTGCTCAAGAAAAGCTGCAGCCCTATCAACAAGAGACACCCAAACCAAGCCAGGCAGAGAGTAAGTTCATCTACATGGAAATATTTTCACAGTCACCTTTTTTAGATTTGTAAGTACGGAAGTTTCAAACCTTGAGGCTTAACAGAGTGATGTTTTCTGTTCCAAGCAGCTGACCCCAACAGGCCGTACGAGGGCCCCATTCACCGCTACAGGACACAGCAGGAGCCCCCCTCACCCCAGCAACCTCCACCTCCCTCTTCCCAGGCAGAGGGCATGGCCCACGTGCCCAGGACCCATCGGCTCATCACCCTTGCTGATCACATCTGTGTAGGTTTTATAATTATGGCTTTTATTTGGGAGTATTACAAAACATTATATCTGAATTTATAACCTCATTTGTTGCCATTAGGCTTGTCTAGTTCATGAATACCTACACTGTGGCCAGTGTCTAATCAAAATCTCTTTTCTGTTTCTTTTGGTGACATCCAGCAAATTATCACACAAGACTTTGCTAGAAACCAAGCAGCTTCTCAGGCCTCTTTGCAGCCTCCCACCACTACATTCCAGAATTCCAGCCCTGCTCCAGCTCCTGCTTCTGGCCGGGCAAAGACCTCGAGCCGCTACAGCCCCGAGGCGCAGCCACAGCCCGTGCACCACCAGCGGCCAGGGGCCAGAGTGTCCCCTGAGAACCTCTCTGACAAGGCCAGGGGAAGGTAATGCAGGGATTCAGTCTAACTGCAAGTTTAATTGATGCCCAGATATGACATGGTGCAGTAATCTTGGTGGAGATTGGAAGTAAAGGCACCTTTTGATCTTATTTTTAGGCAAAGTCTGTCTCCGACTCTTTCACCAATTGCTTGGCTCCATAACATAACTTATAGCTGTTTTCCCTTTGCTACTTCTCCTAATATCCAGTCTTTAGACATGAAAACATGTAATAACTTAAAATTTACCAGAGTTGTTATGGACAATGCATTGTCATCCTTTTAAGCTCACTAAAGCATGTAACATGTAACTACACATAGGCACTTATGTAGGAACTGTAAAATTACATGAGTTAACTACTGCTGTACATGCATTGAGAGTAATTATCTGTCTCTGAATTGTGGATGTAGGCCTGGAAAATCTCCAGAGAGGAGTCATGTCCCCTCAGAGCCCTACGAGCCAATCTCGCCACCTCAGGTCCCGGTTGTACACGAGAAACAGGAAAATGTTCTTTTGCTTTCCCAAAGAACTGAGCCTACTGAACAGAGGTGGGTGTAAAACTGACTTTTAAAGACATAATTCTGAATATTTGTGCTGCAAACTGTGCCTTTATTAAAGAGCAATTCAACTGACCTTCCTCTGGTGCCATAGGCAAGTTGTTAATCACTGTCAATCCTTCTGCACTAACATCCAAAACTTGCGATTTGGGAGGTGCTTTGGGAAGGCTGAGGGAAAGGTCACATGTTGGTGCTCTGTCTTAAGTTTCTTGGTGCAAGCAGAGTGTTCTGTGTCACATCTGAGAGAATGTTAGAGTAAAACTCCTCGTGGTTGCCAGTTCTGTAAAACTGAAGTGAGTTTTGAGAAAGGTCACAGATTTTATTAAATCATTCACTCTTTTCCTGCCTGGTTGGATTCCTGGTTACTGTCCTGGTGGAGAGGGGAGGAACCACTTGAAATATCACTAAGCTAAGGAGGTTCCAGGAGGGGTGAAGTGGGGTGTCCATGCATGGGGCAACCCTGTCCCAGTCTGTCAGATCTGCACCCCAAAACTGCACAGAACCTTCACGGGCTCCCTGGCAGTGCTGGTGTCTGCAAACGTGTGGGAGATGCACACTGGAGTGGGAGCTCCTGTTTTGCCCTGCTGAGCAAGGCAGAGCACCCAAAGTACTGATTTCAGCCTCATGTTGGTGAAACTGATTCTAATTTTATTGGGGTTTTCCACTCTGCAGTTGCTGCAGGGCTGTCATGGTCCATGATGGATGTTAGGTAGATGCAAAGGGATTTCCAGAAACATGGAAGGGGATATTGCACTTTTTAGAAATGTAAGGATCTTGGACTAGGAGATCTAGATTATTTTTTACTTCATTTTTAGATTATTTTTTAATTTACGTATGCGTTGTTTGGTTTTTTAATTGAAGCTTATTTGTCAGATTGCTGTTGCTTAAGCAATCTCAGTTATTATTGAGCCCCCCAGTGTTGATATGACTGTTGGTGGTTTCTGTCTGACTGCTTTTGGGAAGGTTTAAATGTGCATCTTACAAGTTCTGTCTCTTTGACACGTGTTGGTCTTGGCAGGACTGACTCTCGCTCTCCAGGCAGTATCAGTTACCTGCCTTCGTTTTTCACCAAACTTGAGAACACTTCACCAATGGTAAAATCCAAGAAACAGGAGATATTTCGAAAGCTGAACTCATCTGGTGGAGGTGACTCTGACATGGGTATGCAGGACTTGCCTTTTCACTCAATTTTTCCAGCTTAAGCTTCATGTGACTTTCACCTGCAGATGTCTTGACCTAAATATGATCAAATAATACAAATTAATATAAATCTATTAATATAAAACACATATAATAATTTATGAACATAGAACTAGAAGGTTAGATTATTTTCATATACTCTTGTATGTCGCATCATTCTTGCATTTAATTTAAGAGGTGCGAACCACATAATTTATGAGAGAGATGTTAAAACCTGACATTATTCTAACTGTGTCTGTAATTTGCTTTGTATCAATGCCTACACCTTTTCCTATTTGGAAAGGTGTCTTGAAATGAAATAGTTTTGTTTTCTTGGCTCTTATGATTGTCTTTTAAACAGCATTTTAATATAATTTCAGTAATGAACACTGACATTATGGAATATGATACTAGAACTATATTTTTGCTTTTTTTTGGGGAAGTAGGGCTACTGCTGATCACTTAGTGATCATCACTACTGAAAAATTCAGTGAAATGTTGTGTTTTAATTGCAGCAACTGCTCAGCCAGGGACTGAAATATTCAATTTGCCAGCAGTCACTACCTCAGGTAAGTTCTTCAATGAAAGAAACAACATATGTTCCAGAAAAATGTAATGTCTTTAATACTTTAAATTTATACTCTTTGGGGAGTCCAGTAAAAGAGGAAAATTGTGCAAATTTAAAAGCTAATATCCTATATGAAAACTTGATTCCTGCACCATAAGGAAAAGCAAAATGACCAAATCTTTCCCCACACCCCTTTGTAATTTCTGAGATACACTTTCTGCCTCTCTTCCCACCTTTCCCTGTGTTTTCTCTTCTCTCCCAGGTGCAGTCAGTTCTAGGGGTCACTCCTTTGCAGATCCTGCCAGTAATCTGGGTCTGGAGGACATTATTAGGAAAGCACTGATGGGGAACTTTGATGACAAGAGTGAGGAGCACGGGGTGGTCATGTCCCAGCCTCTCGCCGTGGCCCCGGGCAGCTCCGGCGCCGCGGTGCCGGCGACTAATGAGACACGGAGGGAAGAAGCCAATCCATCTCCAAATTCAGGTATTGCAGCTCCCAGATATCCCAGGGCCTCAAAGAAAATAAATAAATCAAGGCTTTGAATAACGTGGTATCGCTGAAAATCACTGTCTTTCCTCTGTAATTGGCAGAGGTGGTGTTTGCATTTGTTGTTCTGGCTTTTCCAGCAACACTGATGGAACAGGAAAAGAAGAACAGGGTGTATTGGATACCTAAAGCTTCTCAGTGCTACCTGATCATTTCTAGAAACAAACACAGAGGCTAAAATGTGGTTGGTGAAATCTGTGCCTTGTGTTGCCAGGTGGGGCAGTCAGCAAGCAGAAGCTCATCGGCAAGTCAAACAGTAGGAAGTCAAAGTCTCCAATTCCTGGGCAGGGATATTTGGGAACTGAAAGACCTTCTTCTGTCTCATCTGTACATTCAGAAGGGGACTACCACAGACAGACTCCAGTTTGGGCCTGGGAAGACAGGCCTTCATCAACAGGTGAGGAAGGGGCTTCTTTCAAAGGTGTTTGCAGTCTCAGATGTTGTACTGGATATTGGCCAGAAGCTCCCAGCATTGGGGCTTTTCTGCAGTGGATTTTCTGCCAATTGTCACAACCCAGGCCAACCCAGATCCCTCAGAACAGCTCATGTTTTTGCCTTTTGATGCAGGTTCCACCCAGTTTCCATACAACCCTCTGACCATGAGGATGCTGAGCAGCACCCCCCCGACCTCCATCGCCTGTGCCCCCCCGTCCATGAGCCAAGCAACCACTCACCCACAGAACAGGATCTGGGAGCGAGAGCCTGCACCACTGCTTTCAGCACAATATGAGACTCTATCTGACAGTGATGACTGAACTATGCAGATTTTTTTTTTTTTTAATTTGCGGGTCAAAAAAAGAAATCTATTTTTGACTTGTGCCCACAGAGACTTTCCAAGAGAGCAAGGGCCACACAATGAAGAATTGCTGGAGAGTCCGTGAAATGCCTTCTGCACAGGGTGTGTGTGTTGGAGGATTGTGGTCGAGAAGGTTGACTTACTAAAGATAAATATGTAAAGAGTTTTTAAAAATGTGGACTATTCCTGCTCTACATCTATTTGTAAAGAAAACCATAATGTCTTTTAAATCATTCTTCTGTAAATAGAGAGTACTTTTTGCAGTGTTTTTTTCCCTTGCTATAGTATCTGGTGTACTTATGTTCAAATCATTGCCTAAACTTTGGGGGTCATTTTGTAATTTTTTTTAAGCATTTTCTCCAGTGTAGAATACTCTTCATAACCCTAGCCTCCCTCTCAGCCTAACCTAACCAGAACCCCAATCTCCCAACCATCATTGCCCATTTAATGCCATGCTACTTCCTGCAGGCATTGTGCTTTTATATAATTTTTTTCCCTAGACACTTTCTCAGTGGTGTTCAAGCTCTTGTGAAAATGTTGATTTTTAAGACTGACCCCTTAGTGAATTCTGTACATTAACATAACTCCAGTTCGCTGGAATAAGATGATATATTTCTTTGGAATTTGAAATTCTGCCACATTGTAAATTTTTGGTGCAGTTGGTTTTATTTAGCAACACTGCAGAAATATTATTGCATGGGTATGTTATGGTTCATTTTTAAAAGGTTAAAGAAACAAAAAAAGAACAGCTTCTGGAGGCATACCTCACTGTTATGCACACTGGGAATTTTAACTGTGCCCTAAAAGCCTATTCTTAGTGTTCTCTGTTTCTGCATTGTATGCAGTCAAAACAGGCTACTAAATTTTACTGTCATATTTAACCACAGCAAATGGCTTTTCTGAACAGAGGCTCTGGGTGGGTTGATAAATCCTTTAAGAAGAAAAAGCTCCACATCCCAAGTTTAAATAAAACAAAGTGCTTTTATAGAATAATTGAGCAACACACGAGTCAACTACTTGGCTTCTGTTACAACCAGTTTGAAATAGGTACTGTGATTTTTTTCCTTCCTCCAATCTGATTTTAAAATCTTTATGTAATAATTATTTTGAAGTCTGCGTCCCAGTCCCTGTCCCTCTAAGCAAGCCTTTGGTGGAAGTCCTTACAAATGCTTGGCTTAACTCCTGAAGTGTGCAATACTTGTTAGGGTGATTTTTATTTTTAAATTGTATATGGTACTAGGAGAGTCTCCTGAATCGTTCATCTATCAATGCTTGCTATGATGTGCTTGTAGCTCATGTACACATTCATCCATCTGGGCAGTGATGGCACAGGCTGTCCTGACATCCATCTCCAAAAGCATCTTCATTTTATGCTGCACTGACCTCAGGAAGTGAATTCACATCTTCTGGGGTAGAAGGACTGATTGACAGATAGCACTGAGCTGGGGGGTGGCGTGGTCTGTCAGATTCCAAACTGCTTTTGCATCTCATTCATCAACAGGGTCTTTGCCTTGGAGTTATTTCCAGTGAGAAATATTTTGGGATTTGCTGTATTTGTGATGCGTTGTATGGGAGGTGTAATGCAGTGTGTAACCTCGAGTCCTGTGAGCTCTGCAGCCCAGGGACTGCCGTGGTCCACTTACAAACAGGAAGAAGCACAGAACTATTTATCAATAGCAAATTTATTTTCAGTCCTTTAAGGAAAGCCTTTTTGCCCCAAGTGTGGGAAACAAAATTCCAAAGGAACTCATTTGGAAACTTGACACTGTTGAAAATACAGAACTATTTTGCTACTTTTTGTAAACACTGCATCATAATAGATCTGTTGGCAGTCTTAAATCTCCTTGCAGTCTTTCTCTGAGAAAGATTTCTCTCATCCTCCCTTCCTTTACCCTTCTGGCTTGAAGCAGTGAAGTTTTCATCCTGTTTGTAGACCTGTGCTCTTATTTTAACTTTCTTTTTTGGTTCCCACAGCAACATATACTGGAAAACGATCTGCCCTTTTTGTAGATTTAAATTTGGAGTGGAGAGTTAAGTTCCATTCTTAAACTCACTTGTTCTCACTTTCTTAGTGTAACAAATACAATGTGAAAGAGGCATGTACAGACAAATGTCTTTGCTACCTGTACAGTAAGTATAGCATGTTCATTGCAAAGCTTCATGTTACTGCTGCAGCAGCAGCAAGATATCCAAAGTAGGATAGTCACAATCTCCTAAGATACAGTTTGAGTGGCATTTGCACATAAAATGTTGCTGCTTTTTTTTGTTTGTTATCCGAGTTTTAACTTCTCCAGTGTAAAAACCTCTCCAGAGCCTAAGTTAGGGTTTACCACAATTCCAGTAATCTTCAAGTATGGAATTACATCTGCCCTGTTTCAGACAGGAAGGTGTTTGTAAGTCATGTTTACAAAGTGTAGTTTACTACAAATTTTTACCTGATTTCTGATCAGCGCTTTCACAATGCTTTCATCTTGATATGGTTCGTGATTCTGATATGAAATCATTTAAGACTTGAAAAACCCATGCATCATAATTTCCACACAATGTCTTCACTAGACAGTGACTTCTGGATTCAGACCAATCAATAAAGGGGATCAGTTCTCCACTTGCTTTTCCTGTGTCTCCCTTTTGTTTTGCAGCATCAGGCAAGACCCTGCTCCCAGGGTGCTGCAGGGCTCCAGGTGACACTGCTGCCCTCCAAGCTCTGCTGCTTCAAACCCCAAACCCAGCACTTGAGGGAAGGTTGGCTCTAATGTGCCAGGGCCTTTCTGTCAGTACAGCCCTGTTTTTATTTCCTAGCTTGCTGAGAACAAAGCTCTGTATGTGACTGAAGTTTTCCAGCTTCCATGAACTTCTGCTCTAGAAAACCTGTGTGCCTCCTCCTCTTAGCTCAGAGTTCAGAGGTGAAGCTGCTACTGTAAGTAAATTAATAATGATGTAATTACATTGAGGGTTGTACCAACCAGCTGCAGTTCTGACAGCTGAGAGGTTAAAATAGTAACAGAATTAGTTCTACTATCCTAACTAAATATGGATTTGGTGATTTCTGGTTTAATTCTCCTCTTTCTTTAACATCAGGCTTCCTGGCAGGGCAGAACTGAGAAATTTTGTTGTCTAAAGCAGCTGTTGATGCTTGATTCACATGAAGGCAGTAGCTGACAAAGCTGGGTTTGTATACAGCATCTTTTCCAACAGGAAGCCTCAGCATTCAAGCGCTGACCTATCCAAGGGAGAAGACACCTCTGGCACTCCCTGTGCTCTCCACTGCAGCCAAGTGTTTTATTTCTGACAGCAGCTCTGTGTGCTAACAGCCTCACCCCTCCTCTGAGAGGACAACGTCTATCTTTGGATAAAAGAAGAAATGAAAAGAAATTAAGAAACATGTTGATCTTCAGGCAAGCTGTTGGCCCAGGACAGGGAGCTGCAGCTCTGTTGCAGGACAGGTACAGCCTGGGAGATGCTCTGCTGCAGTTCAAACACACTGAACTGCAGCACTGATAGAAGTACAGCCCCTGCTGTGCTGTGCAGCATGTAAAGAGTGAGACAATTCCTGCCTGTTCCTTTTCAAGACTTGCTCTAGGACAGCCATGTTTTGAACCTGAACACTTGTGTGGGCAGGCAGGAGTAGCAAACTGACTCTAACACAGTGTTAATACCAGACCAAACTTGCACTTAGGCAGCCAAAATTAAATCACTTAGCACAGCAGGTCAGTCAAACCACAGACTACACCACAAATTCACACAGTTAAGATTTCACATCTTTATTTTGGGCTGTTAGGCAGTGGCACCCCTTCCTCTTACACAGTCCTGAAACTCCTCATTGCTGTTTCTCTGGAGAATTGCACTGAGCTGCTCCCAGGCTGCCTGTGCTGAGCAACCCTCGCTGCCTTCAGTCACCTCAAGGTTGGACTCTGTGCCCAAACCTATTTGGAGCCCTTTCTCCTTTTGGCCAGCTCAGCTAGTTCCTCCTGGATATGCTGGACAGAAGCAGTATCTCCCTTCTGCTGTGCCTGCTTGAGAGCTTCTTTGTACACTTGTTTTGCTTGCAGGAAATCTTCTGTAGCAAGAGGGAAAAGAGGCTTGGCTGTCCAGTTCCATCACCCATTTTCAGAGCCCCCTCCTCATGCTGATCACATGCAAAGGACAAGGACTACTGAGAACACATCAAGATCTAGGGAGGCTCAGAAAACATCCTGCCAGATTGCCAACTCTGAGAGCTAGAGAGCAGCAGTGATGATGGGACCTGGTGCTGCTTAAACTGTCTCAGAAACAAATCTCATGCATGTCTTCTGTCCTTTTGGAAAAGTTACTGGACACAAAGGACATGGGAAACAAGATCTCCTGGCAACCTTTTGGGTCAGTTTTGAAATCAATTCAAAGTCAGACCTACTGCTTAAGCCAAAACTAACTACCCCAAACCAGCACTGTAGCTCAGCCCTACAACACAGATCCAGATCTCTGCAGCCAGCACCAGCTCAGTGCCAGGCTGGGTGTGTATTCACTGACCTTTGTGCATGAGGATTGCTGCCAGGTTGCTGAGCACCATGTGCTCCTCGGGGTGCTGTGTGTCCCGTGCCAGCTGTGCTGCCCTCCTGCTGAGGGCCAGCGCCTCCTCGTAGCATCCCTGAGCGTCCAGCACCGTGGCCAGGTCACTCAGCAGCACCACACTCTGCACCAGGAGGGAAAAGGGAAGCTTTTAAACAAGTATCTCCCAGATAAGTGTTCAGTAAGGAAGTATCCTGTATTTCTGTATTTGCATGCTCGTCCTTCCTGGCAGGAAAACAGCCTCAGGTAGTGCTGATGTCTGAAGGCAGAAGAGCTGCTCCAAGGCTGCCTCATTCCCTCCAGATCAGCCTTTCCTTCCCTGGAGCCCTACTGCTGTACAAATCACCTGTGGATGAGTCTCTCCCTGAACATCACTGGATATCTGCAGAGCCTTCTCATACATTTTCTGTGCTGCTGGGAGCTCGTTGATGTTCAGGAGGTAGCGGCCGTAGGAGTCCAGGCTCATCCCAAGCAGGAGCTGGGTGTTGGCCTTTTCTTCAGCTGCAAACAGAGAGGAGTGAGGTGAGCACTGCCTCAGGATGCAGCATCCATCCTACCACAGCAGAAACTCAGGCAGTGGGAAGAGAATGGATTGACGTGAACATGGTGCTTAGGAATACAGAAACAACATCAGGGACAGGGAAATGGAGAAAAGATGAGAAACCTTTGGCAGACAAGGCTGCCCACCTGATAAGACATCCTCAGGCAAGTCCTTCTGCTTGGCAATCTTCTCCTCTAAGGTCAGGATGCAGAACTGGTAGCCAGCTACAGCTAATTTGTGCCTGCAAAGTGCAAAGCAAAGCTCCTATTCTTGAAGGATCCCTCATTGAAAATCCTCTGCTTGGCCACCCCACCAGCCCTGCAAGGCTGAGGTGAAGGCAGGTGACACCTGCAGCTGGGAACTCACTGTTTCTGAGCAGCGTAGATACTGGCCAGCTTGAGGGACACCTCAAGGACGGCGTTGTCATCCTGCCAGGAGAACACACAATGCAACTGTTACTCTTCTTGTACCTCCCCAACAGAAACATTACTTTGTCAGAGAGTTTAGACCTCAAAAATCCCCATCTTGTTGCCTCCAGTGCTAGCATCCATTAAATATTGCCAATTTCCAGTAAGAGGCATTACAGCACAAGAAATAAGGTAAAGAGAAGGGCCCCACTGGGAGCCTGTCTCAGAACATACCTCCTTTGTGTCCCCTGCAAGCATGTAGCTCATTGTTGCTTTGTAGAGCTTTTCTGCCTGCAACAAGAGTTTTGAAGAGGATACTGAGAAATTGTGGCATTTAAAACAAAACAGAGGCAAACTGTATAGAGGGACCTGGCTCAAACTTGTTGCATTTACACTACACCAAGAGCAGTTTGGAGAGAAAGGCTGACCAGAGCCCAGTGGGACTGAACCAGTGGCTCCTTTCAGTTTCAACTGCAGTGCTGAACTGCAGCATTTCACAGAAAGAAGCATTCCTTCTGCACACCGTGTTGGAGCTCAACATTTACCTGTGAGAGCATCTTTCTTAACCTGCTGTGCTCATGGGACAGCAGTCCTGAGTTAGATCACTCTGCTTTGCACTGGGACATCTCTGCCCCACAGCTCTGAGTCTGCAGCTTGTGCCAGCAACCCACACCTTTGAGACTGTGCACAAGATGTCAACATCTAAAAATTCATTGGGAAAACCCAGAGTTGCTCACATTGTCCAGCTGTCCCTGCATGTAGGCCACGTTCCCCATCTGGAAGAGACAGACAATGCTCAAGCTCTACCGAGGCGATGTGGACGAGCCTCAGCCGCTTTTCCTTCTGTGCCCCGAGCCCGGCTCTCACCATGCTGTAGGTGTAGATGATGGCCTGCCTGTTCTCCTGCTGGTGTGCCTGCCGCAGGGCCTGGTGCAGGAGCTGCTCGGCCTCGGCCAGCTCCCCCTTCATGGTGCTGAGCTGCGGGGGCAGCGGGATCGGTCAGTGCCCGCAGAGCCGGCAGAGACCGCACCACAGTGCCCGCTCAGTGCCCGCAGAGCCCGCACAGCTCGCAGAGCCGGCAGAGACCGCACAGTGCCCGATGAGCCCGCAGAGAGCCCGCACAGCGTCCGTAGAGCCCGCACAGAGCCCGCAGAACCGGCAGCGCCCGCAGAGCCCGCACAGTCCCCGCAGCGCCGGCAGCGCCCGCACAGAGCCCGCAGAGCCGGCAGTGCCCGCACAGTGCCCGCGCCTCACCTTGGCTCTCTTCAGCAGCAGGATGATGGCATCCTCGCCGTCCTCCTCGGCGTCCCGCGGGAACAGGGAGAGCCCTGCGGGGACAGCGCGGTGGGTGCCCGGTGCCGGTTCCGCGCCGCCCGTGCCCGCCGCCCCTCTCACCTCCCAGGAAGGCCAGCGCAGCGCCGGCGGGCCGTGCCCATCGCGGCCGCGCCCGCCCCGCGGTGCCGGTGCCGCTGTCCCCGCGGTGTCCCCGGTGTGCCGCTGTCCAGGCGGGCCGGGGCAGGGCGGGGCGGCGCCGGGGGCACAGCCGGGACAGCGCCCGCGGCAGCGCGCCCGCCACGGCCGCCATGCCCTGCGGGCCCTTTAAGAGCGCGCGTGACGTCAGCAAGGGCACGGGGCGGTGTCATGACGTCACTCCCGGAGCGGGAACTGGAGCGGGATCGGGATCGGGATCGGGCCGTGCTCGGGAACAGCCCCGGGAGCGGGACAGGAGCGGGTCCCGCCGCTCTGCCCGCCCTGGTGAGCAGCGCCCCCGCCATGCCGGACTCCTCAGGACACGGAGCGGGGCACAAAGATGGGGAAGGGGCGGGAGCAGCCCCCGGGAAGGGCTGAGGGAGCCGGGGGGCAGAAGCGGATCTGATCCGTGTGTGTGAATGCCTGCGGAGGGTGCCGGGGGCTGCACCGCGCTCTGCTCGTCCGCAGGAACGTGAGGAACATCCTGTGGGCAGCGAGCCGTGCTTCCCACGGGACCTGTCCGTGTGGGGACATCCCGGAGACACCCGTGTGTCTGTGGGGAACCCCCTTCCCAGAACGTGTGAAAAAAACATCTTAGGAGTTGTTTTAAAGCATCTTAAAGGATGCCATTCCTTGGTCGGGATGGGGTGCCCAGCTAACCCCCTGATGCTCAGTGTCCGTGGTGACCCCAAGGATTTCCCACTGTCTGGTTTGCAGGGATGAGCCCGTGCCTGAGGGATGGACGGCAGCACCTTGCCCGCAGTGGCAGAAGAGCTCCTGAGAGAGATCAGAAAGGCTTTTCAGGAGACCTCGCAGGGTATGTGGGGGATGCCAGCAGGAGGGGCCGGGCACTGTCACTGTCACTGTCACGGGCCTGTCACACCCCGGGCCTCACAGCTGGCCTGCAATAGAAGAAATAGCAATTGATGATTTTCGAGTATATCAATAACAAAGAAGACAAAGCCATTAGTATAAAAATAGATTTTAAAAGACACATGAAAATTTTTGTAGGCTAAACTACGTGCATAAGTAAATGTGTATATGTGCCTTATTAAATTTCTGTACAACTTTTGGTAATTATATTAAGACTAATTCCTTTGCATTAATGAATATAAGTTATTTTAATGTAGTTAATGACTTAAAATTATGCTTTGTTAACAGTATATAAGCTAGAAAACACACAGAATAAAACCTTTTTATTTTAAACTAATCACACAGCGCCCACACCTCACACAGTGCTGATGAGGGCCCTGTGCCTCCCCTTTCCTACCTGATCCTGCTGCCTCAGGGACCTCGATGTCCCTTTTTGTGACAACAGAAGCACAGATAATGAGGAGCAGCCCCTCCTCCAAGTCAAATTCAAAAATCACTCCAGTTTGGACTCTTTATAGTGTGACTTATGGGTTCTGCTGTTTCTTAGAGCTCCTGGTGCCCGTGGTCACACCTGAGCGATGATAAATTAATGCTCCGGGCAGGAATTCTGCTGTGCCTCTGCTCTGCTGGTTCTACAGACTCACCAATCCCAAAACTGGGCTTGGGAAGGGGAATTTCCCAAAGCCGTGTCCTGGCTGACCGGCAGAGGGAGTGTGCTGCTGCTCCCAGGGACAGGAACAGCTTCCCAGGGCTTCAGTGCAAGGAGCACCAGCCAGCGCTGAAATCCTGGCCAATTCCAGCAGCTAGTTAAGGATAATTACCTTTGCTGGATCTGTGCTGAGAGAATATCGGTGTTTGTGTTTGCTGGATGAGCTGCACAAAATGGCTCTTCCCAAGGAAAGGATGTGCTGAAGGAATATTTTTAACTGCACAAAACCCAAACAAATAAGAATTCAGATAAATCTGTCTTGAGCACTACGTGGGAGTGAGGAATGGGCAGAGACTTCATGTCTAAACTGTCAGAGTGACCCCAGTGACAGCTTTTTGGCACACTTGTAATATGGCTCCTGTCAGGTTAGAGTACATCCAAAATCTACATGTGACTTTTAAAAGGGCTTTATAAATGCTATTGTAAGCTAAGCAAAAAGAGAAGTTCATATCCCTTTAAAAACGTCCTTCTTACAGCAGCAGAGTGGTACTAAAGCACACATTGAGGCAGACTGGAGACAAACTGATTGATCCCTTTGCAGAATTAAACTCAAATAAAGCTGGAAAATTCAAAGCAACAGTGCAGGTCATAGCGAGTGCTTTGAATTGTCAGAAGAGAATAATTTTAAAGTCAAAAATCCAGATCTTCCAGTGGGATATGGAGACAGAGTACACTGTGTCCCCTGGGTGATAACAGAGTGGACAAGCAGAGCCCGAGCTGTAAGCTCCAACAAACACAATTTGTGGAGTATAACTTTCCATCTTGAGGAGAAGTTCCAATAAATGGAGACACAATGTTTCAGTGGGCTGCAGTAAAAGCCATAAACCAGTGGTGCCCTGCAAGCCTGTGCTGGGAAAAGAACAACATTTCTGAAGTTGTGAGGCCTGAGTTCTCAGCTCGTGCCAGGAGAGTTTCAGGGAAAACAATATACATATATATTTTTTAGCCAGCTTCTTAAAGTGACAGAGTAAGATGCTGATGCCTCCTGGATGCTTTTAAAATGGGATGTCATAAAAGAAAGTACATTTGGGCTTCTGCTTTTTTTTTTAAAGTGAATCCCTGTGATTGTGATTGCTGTGCTTGAAAAGTGGCTCAGCGCTGCCACCGTGGATCATTTCCCTGCTCCTTGTTGCTTTTTTGGTGGCTAGAGAGGGTGTTGAGAGCTCTGCAGTCCTGTGTGGCCTCTGGGGGTACCTTGGGGGGACAGTGACCCCCCTGTGATGTGAAATTCTGCAAAATCACATTTCCTTTTTCTTTCTGTTGCAGTCCCTGACGACCTGCTGCTGGGGTGAGTGTCTTCTGCTCCAGTTCCTGCCCCTGTCCTGCTGAAGGGCAGCTGGTGGTCAGCTCAGCTCTCATCCTGGCTTTCCCAGTGCTGCTGAAACACAGAAATGCTGGTGCCTTTGGTGGTACTGAAAATGAAGGTTCTGAAGGAGTTTTTTCCAGAGATTAACAAAATTATCTCTGTGTCACTGCATCTCCTGTGATTACTTGCTGTAATTTAAACCCAGAATATTTAACCTGAGCTCTGGGTCCAGCCTCAGCTCTGGAAGGAGTTTGCTCTGGGAATGTTCCAGGGTGATTCATCCCTCTGCCTTCCTGCCCCTGTGAGCACCCTGAGCTCACTCCTGCTCTTTGAGTCATGGGCACGTGTGGTGGAGAGGGAGAGGTGTCCTGAGCATCACCCTGCTCCAGGGAAATGTTAACTTGGAGACTGAGAGTTTTCTTCTGTTTGGGGGCGGTCTCAGGTCAGCTTTGTCACCCTGTGAATGCTTTAATCATTCCCAGCAGTGAGCTAAGAGATCCAAGTTTCACAACTTCAGCCCTCCCCAGTTGGTGTTGAAGGTGGAGAAGGGGCATTGTCACAGTGAAAGAGACTTTCAGATTAATCTGAAAAAAATGTGTTCCTGCCTGGTGGGAGATGAGATCACCAGGAACCCTCCAGGCCTTGGTGCCTTTGTGTTGAAGTTATCTGACACACCACCTGTGACAGGTGTGCTGCCTCCTTCTCCTGGGACCACAGTGGCCTTTGAAAAGTGGGATCAGATTTGAAAGCTTTTGTTTCCTTCTCCTCAGAAAATAAAAGAGGAGAGAAATTCCCTTGTTAAGTTTAATAATGGTGGTAACTCTTGGCAGCCAGATTTCCATCAATTCCCTGCATCCAGCAGCTCAGAAGTATTCTGATTTAATTTCCCAATCTCTTCCACATCTCCAAAGTCCTTGAATTTCCTGTGGGCATTTCCTGTTGAAGTGATCAAATTATATACACAAGAAAAGAATTCCCTAGATTTGAAAAGAGTTCCTGAAACTCACTGAACTCAGCCCCCTTCTAGTCCCAAACCTAATCATGAAGGAATGTCTTACTTAAATGTTCCCCACCCACCTCCTCAGATGGAGCCAGCCCTTCTTGCCTTGAGTTTGTGCAAGTTTTGGTCTTCCTGGAATCTGTCTGTCTGCTTGGCTGCTTATCAGTCAGCTTGACTCAGCCTTGCTGGGGCTCTGCCTTGCTCTGTCCTCCCTGGACTTGGAAACTTTCCCCTTTCTCTTGGGCTCCTGCTCGTGTTTGGTGCTATCTCTTCATCACTGCTGATTTCCTTGTTGTTTACCCTTGGAACCAATCTAGACTACACAGATTTTTCTCAGCTGGTGAAAGGTCTGTGAAGTTAACTGAGTTGTCCCTGAGCTCTTTGGAAACACTCAGAGCAGCTGGATTTACTGGTCTAGAAGGACTTTGGAGCCCCTGAGCTGTCTGGACAATGGGCTGAAGGTGCAAATGTCCATATTTAACACACACCTTATCCTAAACCCCTGCTCAGCAGCAGCAGGAGACAAAATCCCCCTTTGGGATGTACAGTGATCCCCATCCCATAAATGCTGTGCATCCCTGAAAGGGAAAGGGTTTTAAGGGAGAGTGGAGGGACATCAGGCACGTGCTGCCCCTGGGTGTTTGTCTGGAATATCTTGGCTGTCTCTGAGCCCTGCCCCTAGCTGGGTCACAGATGTAAAACTGATGCTATCTGGTGAATCCATGTGCATGGAGTGTCTTGAGTATTTCCCTGATGTTCTCCAGCTTCCTCCTGATGCAGTTTGGTGGGTAGAGAAAGGATCATTTACCCCTCAGTTGTGACTGTGATGGAGGAGATGTGATCACTACAAAATGATTCACTCATTCCCTAGGGTCTGAACTGATCTCCAGGGGATGAGGAAGGAGCCCCAGTTCCTGCTGCTCCAGGAATTATGGATCAATCCTTGCACTCCTCCTTCTCCAGGGAGCTCCATGTGTGCTCCATGCCTGGAGGTGGGATCCAGGACCAACTGATCAATCCAGGGCAGGAAAAATGTCTTTCCTTTGCAATGGGCTCCTTCAGGGCTGCCTCTATGCCCTGAGCTGAGCCAGGGGCTCTCCCTTTGTGCTCTGACCTAACCAGAGACACTTCTCTTGCAGGCTGAAGTTCATTTTTGGCCCATCTGCAGTGCCAGCTCTGGATTTGGTGGACCAGCGTTCTGTCACCCGGCTCAGGTCCCCCAGTGGAAGGATTCTCTACCAGGTACAGCTTCTCTTTGCTTTTCCTTTCTGATGGTTTCCAGCTGCCCTCTGAGACAGTGTTTTCCTGACTTGCAGAGCATGGATAAACACAGGGAGGACACCAGTGCTTTACAAACTCCTGAGCTGACACTGGAGAGCAGCAGCCACGGGCTGGAATTAGAGCAGCACAGTTCAGAACCATTTTCCCTGTGGCTCCCAGCCAGCCAGGGACAATTTATGTGTTTGTGGGCATCACAGTCAGGAGGAAGTTTTCCAGGGATTGCTAATTTTGCTTTATTACTCCCATCCTATCCAGCAGAGGAAGTTCTTCCTCTTGACCAGTTGTACACAACTCATCATTATCTGCCTTCACTCTGTTTCTTTCCTGTCATGACCTCTGCTTGGCAGGAGATCTCTGCTGCCTGGGAGGGAGCAGTGCTGGCCAAACCCGTGGGTTTCACTCTGGTTCAGAGTAGCCAAGGCTGTGAATCATAGAAACATCCCCATGAAATGGCATTTTGGGGGGAAGAGCTCACCTCAGCCCTGACTGAGATCAGTTACAGCACAGGGTGGGAGTGAGGTGAGGAGCCATTGGTGCTTCATTCTCACCTTCCTGTACTGTGTGCAATTCCTTGTTCTGTGGTCCCCAGCACTGGTGGCATCTCTTTTGGGACAATCTGTCCATGCTGTGAGCCATTGTCTAGCTGCATCCAGCCCATGGCTGAGCATTAGGACCCTGTGCCCCAAAGATTTTGGTCAAAAAGCACCAATTCCTTCTCCTCAGCACTCCCAACCCTCAGGTAGCACAGCTGGGCCTGGTTCTGTGCTTTCACACACCAGAGAAAGGGAAATGTCTTTGCTCAGTGCTGCAGCACCCAAGAGGAACATTTCCAAGTGTCCCCTCTGCCAAGGACCTTTTCTCCTCCCCTGGAGGTGCTTTGGGGTCCTGTAGGGTGAGAAAGGGGCTGTGAAGTCAGGCCTGGTGCTGGCACAAACCCTTCCCACGTGTTCAGAGCTTGTCCTGCTTGGTTTGCACGCGGAGCCTTTATCAATTCTGGGGCCATGGAGAGGACACAGCTCCTCCAGAGGGACATGAATCATAACCAGGGCTCCAGAACAGCCTTGGATTGCAGCTGAGGGCTTGCCTGTGGATGTTGGGTAAAGTCTAGAAAGCTTCCAGCACCCTTAGACAGCAGCTGCCTCCCTGATTAACTGAAAGCTCAAAGGCTTTCCCTTTTTTACTGTTGCTTGTCTGAAAATGCCACTGGGCAGAGAATGGTCACACTCCCTTTGTCAGGCCCTGCAGGCTAAGGCAGAGCTTTGCTGGGCATCAGTTATTAATCTGATATTAATGAAGGGCTCAGTTGGTGCACACTGAAAAGGAACAAGTGTCAGAACTGCTCTCCTGCCTCTGCAGGGAGAGGGAGCCTCTGGTTTCCCTGTGGAGAAGGAAGCCCTGGCCAGGAGGGTCAGGGAGTTAATGCAGGACAAAGCTCCAGGAAGGAGATTCCTGTGTACCCCCAGCTGCATTCCTCTCCTGTGGAGCTTGATTGCTGATTAAGGCCACGCTGATGAGTTCATTAACAGAGGAATCTGAAGAGATATTTTCTCTGGCGGTATGAGGTTGGTGCCATTGTGAAATTCTCCCTCATCACAGCTGTCTGAGATGCAGCAACAAAGAGCAGAGTCTGCCCTGGGGCTGGAGCAGTGACAGGAACACATCTGGGGTCATAGAAACCCAGCCCTGGGTGGGACAGGGCACTGCAGCCACTGGCTCTTCATTCCTGGGCAGGAATGTGTGGGAATGTCCCCCAGCCTGCTCCTGGAGAGAGGGACATCCCTGGACACCGCACAACCATCCCTGCTATTATCCCCCACAGTCAGCCCTGCCATTGGCACCCAGATGTGGTTCAGCTGGAATGTGAGGTGCTGCTTCCACTTGCAGCTGCCTTGGAGAGCTCTTTGAGGCCATGGGCAGGTTCTGTTGTGAAACTCCTCTGGGTCATTACAGCCAAATCTGAGCTGCTGATTACTCCCTATCAGCCAGCACATCTCAGGTCCCGCCTCAGGGGAGGAAGGCTCTGCTCAGACAGGCCCTGTGGTGTGGGCAGCCCTTGCCCTGAGGAGGCTGAGATGGGAGAAGGAGGAGCCCTCAGTCAAATGAGAGCTGTGATGTGTCCCTTAATGCCCTTCTGATGGAGGGTCCCAGGGCTGGGTGCCTCAGAGCTGAAATCATCCCAGGAGAGCTTGGATGGCACCTGCCCTGTGAGCTCAGGGGTAAATCCCTGCCCTTGGAGGGCACTGCCCTGTGAGCTCAGGGGTAAATCCCTGCCCTTGGATGGCACTGCCCTGTGAGCTCAGGGGTAAATCCCTGCCCTTGGATGGCACCTGCCCTGTGAGCTCAGGGGTAAATCCCTGCCCTTGGATGGCACTGCCCTGTGAGCTCAGGGGTAAATCCCTGCCCTTGGATGGCACTGCCCTGTGAGCTCAGGGGTAAATCCCTGCCCTTGGATGGCACTGCCCTGTGAGCTCAGGGGTAAATCCCTGCCCTTGGAGGGCACCTGCCCTGTGAGCTCAGGGGTAAATCCCTGCCCTTGGAGGGCACTGCCCTGTGAGCTCAGGGTGAATCCCTGCCCTTGGATGGCACCTGCCCTGTGAGCTCAGGGGTAAATCCCTGCCCTTGGAGGGCACTGCCCTGTGAGCTCAGGGTAAATCCCTGCCCTTGGATGGCACCTGCCCTGTGAGCTCAGGGTGAATCCCTGCCCTTGGAGGGCACCTGCCCTGTGAGCTCAGGGGTAAATCCCTGCCCTTGGATGGCACTGCCCTGTGAGCTCAGGGTAAATCCCTGCCCTTGGATGGCACCTGCCCTGTGAGCTCAGGGTAAATCCCTGCCCTTGGATGGCACCTGCCCTGTGAGCTCAGGGTGAATCCCTGCCCTTGGATGGCACTGCCCTGTGAGCTCAGGGGTAAATCCCTGCCCTTGGAGGGCACTGCCCTGTGAGCTCAGGGTAAATCCCTGCCCTTGGATGGCACTGCCCTGTGAGCTCAGGGTAAATCCCTGCCCTTGGAGGGCACTGCCCTGTGAGCTCAGGGTAAATCCCTGCCCTTGGAGGGCACTGCCCTGTGAGCCCAGGGTAAATCCCTGCCCTTGGATGGCACTGCCATGTGAGCTCAGGGTAAATCCCACCTGCTGCAGGGACGGTGGCTCTGGCTGTGCTGGATGTGGCAGTGCTGGCCTGGCAGCATTTGGGGCAGAGATGCTGAGCTGTGGCAGTGAAGGAGGGCAGAGCTTCAGCCCTGCCAGCTGGCACCTGCTCTGCTCACATCCTGCCCTGCTCACATCCTGCACTTTCATTGGGTTCTTCTTTTTTATTTTGTCTTTTTTTATCCATTTGCCAGAACTGTGTGGCAGATGCCCCACGGTGAAGGGTTTGAGCAGCAGGCCCTGGCACAGGCTGTGATGCTGTCTGTCTGTCTGTCTGTCTGTCTGTCCCTATGCTGGTGCCTCAGCTGAGCCTCCTGTGCCCCCCACACTGGCAGGGACACCTCCAGGGGGATTTTTCCTCCTTGAGGCCCAGGGATGAGGACAGCAGAAGGAAATCTCAGCTCAGGGCCAGGGGAGCACCCAGTGCTTGGCAGGGCTGCAGCTGGCCAGGAACAGAGGCACCTTTTTCTCTGTCTTTGGATTGTAGATTTTGCTTTATTAGGCAGAGACTGTGTTCCTGCCATCTAGGTCAGGACTGGGAACGCTGAGCTGAGCCCAAATCTGGCAGTGTCTGTCTGTCTGTGGCTCCCCCCCTCCCCAAAGAAAACACTTCTGAAGGAAAGGCACCATCAGAATCCTTCATCTTGGAAAAAGCAATCAAAGGGGCTGCAGGAAAACAAACTTATCACAAATGAAACAAACTCAGCCTGCTGTAAAAGGAGGACCCAGGGTAAAGGCCAGACTGAAAAAGAAAAGAAAAAAAAAGTTTTGCTCTGAAATGGAAATGTGAGTTTTGTGTCCTGGGTCTGCTGGGAGCGAGGGGCACTTTGAGGCATTGGCATTTCTGGGTGTTCCCTGTTGGGCAGAGGGTGCAGGGGGAGCTCCAGGGACAGGGGAAGGCTCCCCTTGGACAGGAGGGACAATGCTCCCCTGGAGGGGCTTGGGATGCCAGGGATGTCCTGGAGGGGAGCAGCACTCTGCAGAGCTCCTCTGCCTTTTCACTTTTTGGGTTTGTCGTTGGATTTGGGGGTGTGTGTGCCACAAACCCAGCCAGATGGAGAGGGCTGGGCCCTGTGCAAGTGTGTTCAGCTCCTACAGATCCTTCCCTTCCCATAGGTTGGGCCCTTAAAGTCATTTCCTAAAAGCAATTTTCCATTCTTGAGGAGACCAAAAGAGAACTTATAATCCCCAGGCTGGTTTTCCTATATCCTGCAGTCAGCTCCAGCAGCTCACAGGTTGCTCCATGCTGGAAAAAATCCTTTTCTCACCTGTTAGCTCAGCCTGGTGCCTCAGCACCAGCCTTGCAGGGAACAGCATGTGGGAAAAGCAGGCAGTGCTGTTCCCAAAGCAGAGATGGAGCAGGGAGCTTCTCTGGAGACTTCAGCTTTGTTTATTCAGGCAGATCTGGATTCCAGTAGCTGCAGCTGGTTCTGAGAGCAGAACAGCTTCAGTGGCTGGGAAAGGAGAGGCCTCCCTGCAAGGGCTCAGTGCTGCTCCCTCCTGTCCCCAGCCCGTGGTGGCCCTGGGCTCACACCTGTGACAAGAGTCTGTCATTTCCACCTGTGAGCCTGCAGGGCTGGGGGGAGCTCACAGGAGGGGCTGGCACTCAGTGGGAGCTCAGGGAGTGGAGCCACCACCCCTGTCCTGGTCCCTGGGGCTGGGATCTGCTGCAGGCACAGCTACAGGACACCCTCACCTGCAGGGAGAGGAGCTTGTGGAGACCCTGAGAAACCTGAGGAGCTTCAAGTGCTTGGGGACACTTCTGTGCTGTGACATCTCCCCTCACTGCTGGGGCAGTGCACACCCAGCCTGAGTCACAGAAATTAAAGTGAATCCTGCCCTGACTCCTCCTCTGCCTCTGTTTCAGGTCCTTGGCAGCTCAGGCAAACTCTACACCTGCTACAGCTCCTGCCACTTCTGCACCTGCCCTGCCTTTGGCTTTTCTGTGCTGCAGAAGAGTGAGAGCCTTCTGGTGAGTTCTGTGCCTCAGCCTGGGGCTGCCATGGGGAGGGACAAGGCTCTGTCCTGCCCCTTGAACCCCAAATTTCCCCCCAAACACGAGTGGAGCTGGCCATGAAGGCTGAGCCTGACCCCTGTGTGGCCTCTGGGAGCCCCAGATTTTGGGTGCTGGGTGCAGGGAGGGATTTAGGTGGTCAGCAGAGGTGGGGAGGGTGCCAGGGACTGTGTGCCAGCTCCCTGCATGGCACTGTGCTGGTGGCAGAGCTGGGGACACTGAGCCCCACCTGTGCCAGGAGGGAGCCACGTTCCTGGGGGGCTCAGCACTGCACTGAGCACATTTTGGCCAGGATGGATTCCTGAGCCTGGCACCCCAGCCTTGCTCCTGCTCTTAACTTTGCAGTGCAAACACATCCTGGCTGTGTACCTCAGCCAGGCCTTGGGAGCCTGCCAGGAGCTGCCTGTGTCTGAGGAGCAGCTCACAAACATCCTCCTGGCTGAGGAAGAGGATGAAGGATGAAGGAGGAAGAATTTGGATCACTCCTGGATGTGTAACTGACATTTTCAATATCTGTAAGGCTGTCAAATGCTCATTGAGGCTGGCAGATTTCTTCCTGTGCTGCAGCCAAGTGTGACATTAATTAGCAGCCTGGCACTGATAAATTAATTAATTAGGCCTGTGTTGACTTCAGTTTTATTTATTTATGCTGTTTTTGGGATTTCTGAAGATGTTTGAGCTAATCTGTAATGATTGTGATGTGAGGATGCAAACAGTCCTGCAGGTCTCAGTGGTGCACAGATTAAAGAGCTGCTGTGGCTCTTTGCAGGTGGCAGCTCAGAGCAATTTCTGATTTTTCAGTGGCAAACCTGGTCCAGGGGGACCCCTCAACACCCTGAAACTCTGTGCCTCCACTGGAACAGGATCTTTGGAAGCATCAATGTGGTTGCTGTGCTTTAAATCAAACATTTTCAGACACACTGAGCAGCTCAAGGCTGCTGCCCTGGGAGCCAGCTGGGATTCCCTGTCCATGCTCTGTGCTCCCTGAGGGCAGTGTGGCCTCTCCTGCTGCATCAGCCACCAGAAACAATGGGGCACAGGCTGAGCCAGGTGCTGTGGGTGGTAAATGAAGCATTTTGGATGAAAATAACAGTTCCTGCAAATACAGAATCTCAGCAATATGAGAACACTTCATCCATGTACAGCAGAGCAGGGACAGCTCAATGGCCACAGCTGCACTGGCTACAAAAGTTCCTCTGCTGTTTTTCCTTCACATTTTTATGAGAAATGAGCTTTTTATTGAGGAGGGCAAGGGAGGTGTCCTATTTTTATTTTGCCTGGAAACATGTTTGGCTCAGATCCACAAAGGCACTTCCTGTGCCCAGGGACCATGGCCTGGACCAGAGTTCATGCCTGACAGCCCAAAGCTGGACTCAGGATGCTCCCAATCCAGCTGCAGGAATTCTGGCTCATGGGAAGGGAGCAGTGGTGGATGCTGGGCTGCACTGGAAGCTCTCACATGTGCACAAATGTTCTGGGACCTTCTCTCTGGCTGTTACAGCACTGAGAGTTTCACTCTGCTGCTGATGTGAGAGTTTGGGTTGGTTTCAGGCAGCCAAAGGCAGAGATTCCATCCTTTGTTGTGAGGATAAATGGGGCTTGCAACCACCTGGCAACCCTGCCAGGGCTGCAGGTGAAACCCTGATGGTTTCCAGCCTGATTAACAGGAGGCACAGGGCCAAAGATAACACAGGAGGGAAGAGAAGGGATGGGGGGAGGAGAGCCTGGCCCTGCCCTGGTGGCAGGAGGTGGCCCTGGCTCAGCTGGGCCCAGCAAAGCTGAGTGGGGCTGGTGAAGGAGGAGCACCTGGGACAGGGACTGGAACTGCTCAGACTGGTGCTGGAAGTGCCCAGATCTGAGACACTGAGCTGTAGCTAAATTTGGACATTGTATAAACATTACAAAGCCCTTCAGAGCTCTCTGGTGATTTCACCCAGCTCTGGGGCTGAGCTGCTCCAGTGGCAGTGAAATCCAGCACTCCCAGGGAACCATTCCCTGTGCACGGTGGGCCCAGAGTCATTCCTGCAGCTGCTGCCTGCAGCTCCTGCCAGCTGGCACAGGACATGCTGCAGGAACAAGGATTTCTTCAGCTTTTCAATTGATTTTACACCATATTTGTCATTATATATGCCAGAGAAATGAAACTCTTGGGATCTTGTACCCTCCTTTTAGTGCAACAGAATTTTAAAAAATATAGAGTTGGTTTCTGTGTGATTCAAGTACAATTTTTCAGGGATAAAAATATAAAAATTACTATTGGGGGGGGAAAGCATTCACAGCTTCTGGGGGTTACAGGGCTGCAGGGATGTCCCAGCCTGACCAAGCTGCAGCATCCACCTCTCACAGCTAAAACCTGCACTTGTGGAAGCTCTGCAAGGCTGGCAGAGCAAAAACCCAACTGTGGGGCTCATGTCCCCAAGGCAGAGGGACACTGGCCTTGGTGGCTCTGGTTCAGAGCAGCCAGGACCATTGGGGCACTTCCTGCACTTTGATAGCTGCAAACAGATCTGGAAGCAAACCTGGGCTGCACAGCCCTGTGAACCAAAGTGATTTCAAGGCAGTAAAACCTTGGTGAAGTCTTTTCTCAAACCTTTCAATAAATGGGGTTTCCATGCTGGGCTGGCCAGTCCTGACCTGGTTTTCCCATCCTCACAGTCCCTCCCCTCAGTGCCTGGAACACAGATTGAGTTTCACACCAGCAACTGGGCTAAGTAAGACTTTTTCCCATCAGAGAATACAAGCTGCATCAAACAATTGATGGAATAATTAGGGTATTACCAAAGTGCTGTCAAGTATGAACTTGGAGAACAACTCAAAAAACAGACACAAAATTATTACTCCTAAATGAATCCAAATATTAAAAAATAATAATAATAATAATTAAAATAAAGATCCTATGACTTGACATGAGCAGCACAATTGGGGAAACACCCCCCCAGCAGGTGAGTCTTCCCCAGTCAGTGTCCAACGTGGAATGGGAACAGCTGGAAAGGGAACACAACAACGGGATCACAGCCCCAGGGGCTGCAGAGGAGAGCGAGCTGCACTCAGTGTCCCCGCTCAGGTCACTCCTCTGCCAGGCACGACGTTAATTACAAAAATAAAAATAAAAATAAACCCAGAGCTGCACGAGTCCATAGTGGTCATGTGTGAGCTCCTGGCAGGGCAGGGCAGTGCCAGGGCAGCAGGGCCGGGCTCACACGGTCACTGAGGCTGCAGGAGAGCTGATGTTGATGGCAGTCAGGTGCTGGTTGTGCTCTGAGGGACACTTGGGGAGCTCCTGGGCCTTGCAGAGGATCTTGGAGAGGATCTTGCGGAAGGTGCAGCGGAATTCCCGGATCCTGTAGGCGTAGATGATGGGGTTGATGACGGAGTTGGCGTGGGACAGGATGATGGCCACGTACATCACCCACTCGGGCTTGGAGCGCGAGAAGCCCTCGTGGAAGTGCGTGATGCAGTTCAGGATGTGCAGGGGCAGCCAGCAGAAGGCAAAAAGGCCCACGATGATGGCCAGAGACTTGGCTGCGTGCACCTCCTTCTGCAGGGTGGTCCTGGAGTTGCCCATCAGCTCGATCTGGTGCAGCTGCTTGCAGGCCACCATGAATATCTTGATGTAGATCCCCAGCATGATGACGAGCGGGAGCAGCACGCAGCCGAAGAAGTTGAAGTAGACCATGTAGCTCATGGTCACCACGTTCTCAAAGAGGCACGAGATGAAGCAGCCCTGGGGCTCCGTCCCTGTCTCGTTGGTGGCGTTGGGACAGCCGCTCATGGCTTTGTGCCAGCCCATCAGAGGGGTCAGTCCAATCCCAAAGGACAGCAGCCACAGCACTGCGATGAGTCCCCTCGCCCGCTTGCCGGTCACCAGGCTGTTGTACCTGCAGCCCCCGGGACAAAACCACAGCAAATGTTACATAAACCAGCGCCGGTGACTTCCCTGCAGTTAAAGGATTCGTGTTTTGATTAATGAGACAAAAACCACACCCACGAGGGGGCCTCACCTCTCTGATCGCCCGAGGGGCAAAACCTCTCACCTGTGTCTCCACCCACACGCCCTGGTTTGGGGAGCTGACTCATTTACTATTCCTGAGAGGCGCCAGCACTGCCCCAGCCCACAAACCCCCTGCAAGGGGAGGGAAGGGACTCGGAGGCTTAAAAAAACCTTTATCATTGCGTGATCCTAAACCACCAACGGCCAGCAGGGCACGGACAGGGAGGCTCCCTGAGGCTCTCTGGCTCTGAGCAGCCCCTGCTGGGCACGCTGGGGCAGCTGCTGGGCAGTTCCTGGGCTGACCCCGTCCAGCTGCGGCAGTGCTGGTGCCCAGCTCTCCATTGCAGTCCCACATGGGTTATGAAGAAGCTCTGCTGTGGCCCAGGGACAGGTTGGTGCAGAGCTGAGCCTGGAGCTGCCCCACACCTTCCTCATGTCAGAGTCCCTTCGTGGCCCCTGCAGCCCTCAGATGCTCAGACACACAAGCAGAGCTGGAACCTGAAGCAGCAAAAGTCAAGTCTGGTTTGGGAGCAACCAGAGCAGCTGCCAAAATCAAAGCATCCATCAGATCCCTGTCTGGAGATAAGAAGAACCTGCAGATGCCAGAAGACAACATGAGAAACCCATTGCTGTCCTCTCCAGAGCCAGGCAGAGCCTGCTGGCTGCCACACGTCCCCTCCTTCCCACACCCTTCTCTCAGTGCTTGTTTACTCTGGCTGGGCTGCCCTGCTCCTCCTTCCCTAAGAACGTTTGTTCTGATTTTCTTCCGGCCGTGAGCAGGGCAGGGTTTTATTCCCACAGATCTGCAGCTGTGCTGTGAATCACTGTGTGAGTGAGCTCCTGCTCCTCTGCAAGGATGGGGGACACTGGGGGTCCCAGAGGGACTGGGGGAGCCCTCAGCTCCTTCAGGCTGGGCTGGCTGGGAGGATGCAGGAGCAGCAGCCACATTTAGGTGCTGCTGAATTGTGGACACAGACCATGGCTTGGTGTCTGAAGGGTAGATCCAGTCACTGAGGGGCTTCTCCTGCATTTTTCTCTCATTATTAATAAGTTCCAATACTTAGAAGATGAGAAGGTCTCAAACAGGGCATCAGTGAGGCCAAGCCTGTTGCTTTGAGACCTCACATTAAGTTTTCAAAGCTGGAGCTGGTCTGGGCTTGTGGGACCTGAAATCATTGAGATTTGAGAAGTTGACAGAAATCCAATCTCTTGGCAAGGTCTGAGTCTTGAGCTGCAGCCCTGGCCCAGCTCAGTCAGTGCTGCAGAGGCACCAGGAGCTGCTGCTCCCTCAGCTCTGCAGTGGGAAGGGAACACTGGCCCTCTCCAGGTGCTCCATCCCAAAAACTGCCATGGTGAGACTGGAAAATGCCAAAGGGCCATTGCTTAGAAACAGAAACTGAAGGAATAGAGGGGTTTGTGTGCTCAGGGACAGGAGGAGCCACCTTGGCCATGCTGAGATCCCAGGCTGGTGACATTTGATGCGGCCTCTTGCTGGAAACACTTGGCCCCAAATGAGGCTTCTTCCATCTGCTCTTCTCCTGAACTCTGCTAAGATAAGGCCTGGCTTGAAGGTTTACAAGACCAGTCAAGGAGCCACTTGGTGTTCCAGGGGCTGTCCTGGTGTCCTGTTTATTTTGGAGCTGCTGGCTCCTCCCAGCAGAGCTGCACAGGGACCATGGCACGTGCGTTTGTATATCCCCCGAGGGAAGATGTGAAAACATCCCGGGCTGCAAGAGCCAGAGCTGAGCAGTGGGGAGGGCTGGAGGCCCAGGACAGAGGTGGAGATGTTTTTTCACAGGGCACAACTGCCCTGCTCAGATTAGCTCTTCAGTTCCCCAGAATTTGCATGGCAGAGCCCTCCCACCATCTCTGCATCCACCTGGTGGTCACTGCTGTGGGCAGCCCAAAGAGCCCAAGGTGGAACTGGGGACAGCCTGAGGTCCTAGAGTTGTTAATTAATTACCTTCATGCACTTATTTGGTGGGACCCTGCCTGTATTGCCCTTAAGTCAACACAAGTTAAGCACAAACTTAAAAAAATAAATTAATGAATGTCACCAGATCCAGGTATGAGGAGTCTCACAAGCTCTTCTCTAAACTCCATAAAACAGGCTCAGACAGTGAGGAACCCACAGATTTCCACAGCTCAGAATCCTCCAAACCTCTCCTTCATTCTCTTTTAGGCTTAATATTATTAGACAAAAAAAAGCCCATTAAAGTAAATTTACTCACCTAAGTCTGCTCAACTAATGTATAACAAATATTGAATCACCTCTGCGCTTCCCCCCGGAGGCATCAAATGTTGCCTTAATGTAAATAACAGCTGAATATTCTCAAATGATTTATTGGAATTAAATAACCTGGCAATGTGTTAGCTCCTTCTGAAGTCTCTTTATGGGTGCAATCAGCATGAAGGCTTTAATTAGCCCAGCTCCCACCCCGAGGCCATGGTGGGGTGGCTCAGGCTCCTCTCCTGAGGCAGAAGCTGAGCATTGGCCACCAGTGTCCCTGCAGGAGGACAAGGGGCTGTCTGAGGGACAGCCCAGCCCTGCAGTGTCCCCTGGGCAGCTGGGGCTGTCCCTGCTGTGTCCTCACCCTCACAGGCACAGCCAGGGCTGCACGAGGTGTCCCCTGCTCTGGTGGCCCTCCCACAGCAGCGTCCCCATGGCCCCTCCAAACCCCAGGGCTTTCCTGGGGGAGCTCACAGCAAACACCAAAGGAGTGAATTCAGGTTGGAAGCCTCACTCTGTGTGTTGGAGGATGGTTGGAGTTGGGTTTTTGCATTTCTGCTGCCACTTCCTGGGGCTGGGGAGCAGCCAGGGTGCCCAGGCTGGTGCTGAGCGCAGCTGGCACAGAGCAGGACGCGCTGCCAGCCCGGCCTGGCAGGAACTGAGTCATGTCCTGCACGTCCCTGGCAGCTGCCACCAGCCCCTGCTGGACCCTGGGGAGCCCAGCCCAGCCCTGCTGCCCCTGAGCTCGGTCACACAAGGAAAGCACAGCAGGAGAAATTCAGCATTTGGGGTGAAGAGCTTGGGGCAGCTGGAGGAAACTCTGGAACAGGATTATGGGCACATGGTTTAGGTCAGAGAGCAGAAACAGGAGAGCCCTGCCTGTCCCTGCCTGTCCCACATCACAGCCTGGGGGTGCCACACAGCCCTGGCCCGTCCCTGCTGTCCCTGGGCCACAGCAGAGGCTGCTCAGGGACTTTGGGCTCTCCCACTGCCTCCAGAGCAGGATCAGCCCCCAGTGAACAATTCCAGAGCTTCAACCCCAAACCCAGCCATGGTTTGTGCTCCCCAGCCCCCTCCCCACCCTGCCCCTGCCCAGGCTGCTGGATGCAGGAGAGGAGCAGATGGAATTTGCAGGGCTGGGACCAGGCAGGTGCTCTGGCATATATTTCTATTTTAAGTGTGAAGGGAAATGCACAGACACCTCCATTCACAAGGGGTGAGAGCAGCTCGGCTGCCAAGCATTGTGTCCTTGTCACCTCCTCACAGCTGTACTTTGCATCTTGCTCTTTTTTTATTTAATTTTTTTTAGCTATAACAAAATAAGCACCATTTCTGCCTCTGTGCTCCATGCACAGCCACGGAATGGAGATCACACAGCAGCTGAAATATCCTGGCAGGACGCTTTAAATGAATCATAAATTGCACCTTAGAGAGGGAGGGGGGAGAAGAAAAAGAAATAAAAAGAAAAAGAAAGATAAAGGAAAAAAATGAAAAGAAAAAGCTGTGCTGTTGAGGCAGGAAGGAGTTGGCGGCCAGAGCTGTGCTCAGTGGTGACGCCGTCAGCTGGGGAAGTGGGACATCTGTGAGTGTCCCTGTCCTGGGCAGACAAATCACTTCCTCCTGCATCTGTCCCCATTGTGAGGGACAGCAGCAGCACTGCCGGCCTTCCGCTGGGCGGGACTGCCACAGTGCCACTGCCACAGTGTCACAATCACAGTGTCACACTGTCACAGTGCCACTGCCACAGTGTCACAATCACAGTGTCACACTGTCACACTGTCAGTGTCACACTGTCACAGTGTCACAGTCACAGTGTCACAATCACAGTGTCACACTGTCACAGTGCCACTGCCACAGTGTCACAGTCACAGTGTCACACTGTCACAGTGTCAGTGTCACAGTGTCACAGTCACAGTGTCACACTGTCACAGTGTCACAGTCACAGTGTCACAATCACAGTGTCACACTGTCACAGTACCACTGCCACAGTGTCACAATCACAGTGTCACAGTCACAGTGTCACACTGTCACACTGTCAGTGTCACACTGTCACAGTGTCACAGTCACAGTGTCACAGTCTCACAGTCACAGTGTCACAATCACAGTGCCACTGTCACAGTGTCACAATCACAGTGTCACAGTCTCACAGTGTCACAGTCACAGTGTCACACTGTCACACTGTCAGTGTCACAGTGTCAGTGTCGCACTGTCACAGTGTCACAGTGTCACAGTGTCACACTGTTACAGTGTCAGTGTCACAGTGTCACAGTCACAGTGTCACACTGTCACAGTGTCACAATCACAGTGTCACAATCACAGTGTCACACAGTGTCACATTGTCACAGTGTTACAGTGTCACACTGCCACAGTGTCACAGTGTCTGTCACCTGCCAGCCCGGCTCAGGTGAGCTCAGGGGTCAGGAGCAGGAGGAGCAGAGGAGGGGGCACCCCCAGAGGAACGGGCACCCCCAGCCCTCCCGAGTGGAAGGCAGTGTCCCCTCCCTGGTCCCCGTGTCCCCAGCCACGAGCCGGGGCTGTCAGACACCTGCAGGTTAAAACCTGCTCAGGAATTCTCATCCATGCCCTCATCCATGCTGTGAGCCCTCCCTGCCTGGGTGGTGACAGAGCCCGGAGAGGGACAGAGGGACAGCCACGGG